TCAGAGGGTTGGTACAGTAGAAGGAATATAGTAAGTAACATTTTATACAAAAAAATTAAGCAATTTTTTCATCAACCTTCAACAATGCTTACCAAGTCACTTTAAGGGCAATGTTTTCACAAAATGTCGGCTAACGCGACCACCCGACCCGACGCAATGATCAGATGATTCGAAGTACGCCTTTCAGAGGTAGCGTCATTAACTTGGGGGATATAAAGATGTGTGAAGTCCATGCTAGGCATACATTTCGTTACGTCCTGGAATGGCTTGTATTTCTTTAGTACCAACAGACCAGTTTACTAGTGTTAAAAAATAATGAATAAACTACAATACTTGGAATCCAGTCTGCATACATTACTTCTTGCTATGTCGGGCAAACATGAGGCAAACTTTCAGGTTGTCAAGAAAAACCTTTTTTTTAAAGTATGCATACAATTTGAATGTTAGTAAACTGCTCTTTTGCCTGATATGAGCAGAATTGCATTAAAAAAATAGACCTCTGACTTCCTATGTTAAACCGGATATGAACAAAAAATCATGCTTAAAGGTGAAATTCAAAGAAAATCACAAACATGTCAACTAATGTATCATTAGAAACTGGTAAGCTAACAGATGGCCATCTTACACGTTTTATGTCAACTACGTATCGGGTGATTTATACAAAATAAAAATACAACCACCTCCATAGCAGCTGGGATATACGAGAGATTCGCCGGAAAAATAACGATGTTTTAATTACGTCTCTATATGGACCAATACTGCCCAAGCAGACGACATCCCATAAAGTATGAACATAATTGCAAAGCCATTATTTGTCAAATTATAATGAGTTTAGTGTATATAAATGTAATGGCATGTCAAACCATTCAAAAGGGGATATTACCCGATTCTGATAACTAAAATCTTTTGCTTGAAAGGGGTTACTTAACAATCAAAGAAACCAGACTTTCAAATTGAAACCCCACAGAATGATACTAAGGACGGCATTTGTTACCTCTTGTAACGCCGAACAAACCGCGGTGTATGCAGCTGAATATACAATGGCCTAATATTTTGTTTACAAGCGACAGATTCCTTTATTTTTGTATCGCTGCATTTGTCATCAAAATAAAACCACGCGCGGGGTTTAGAGTGAGGCAATATATTATACATTTAGCCTGACGGTAGTGAAGTAAGAGAAAGAACTCAAGAGAAGATGAAAACACAGGCACTGAAAATGTGTTAGAAGACATGGGACAACGTCTGCATGTGCAAATCATGTCCATACTGTGATCTCACACATCTCAGCAGCGTTCGGAGAGCTCTTCAGGTGCTATGCCGGGGATGTTTTTAAGCGTTTTGTAATTTATAATAATCGTTACTTCGAATGTTTCCAAGCATTGAATTTTGATAACCTTGTCGAATCAAAGTTTCAACTTTGCAATAATGAACATAAAATTAGTTATTAAATTCAATAAATATCTACTTTAAGCTCAGCGTCCGCTTGGACTATTAGTAGAATAAACAGGTCTGTGACGCTACCTTTTTCATCGTCAAAACATCCACTGAGAGCCAGAAGGGCATTAAGTTTAGCGTATAATAAATAGTATATTACCAACGTCCTTATGGCTCTCAACGGTCGGATCACAAAACAGACCCAATAGGCCATTTTCATAATGTAATCACATTTCACGCAAACGTCTTTGTAAAGTGCCTCAATACAAATGATTTCAATTACCTGTTGCAAATAAATCTCAATTGTCCTGAACTCAAATGGCACACATGGGTTGTTGCTAGGTAAGACAAACAATTTGGCTTGCCCTACCCATGGACCCTACTACAGATGGACTAATAATGAGAGTCTTTCTTTGATCACATCATGACCAACGCCACCTGATAATGTGTATGTTGATGAGGACATTCATTTGACGCGACAATGCTGAATATGTAATCCCGCATCATCACAGACGAAAGAACCTTTTACATTTCTTCAGGTTCTTTTCGCTAGGCCAGGGCTCAGAGTGTAATTTCAGGAAAAGTATCGTGATTTAAGACCAGATACAGGAGCAGTGAACCCCAAATTAGGAAAATTTGTGTGATATTAGAATGATTATTAAAGAAGTGGACACTGGTGGACATACATTTGGACTTGCCAAACTTTGCAAAAATATCTTTACCTTACTGTCCTATCACCTTCTACGTTTTGGAAATGGATAGGATAAGTTTTTCAATGAAGTTAAAAATCATTGAATTGCAACCAAATTTACAGGTATCTCTTGTAAACTACTTCTAATTTCCTATTGAAAACCTAATATACGTTAATATTCATATGTACGCCACATGCACATGCATTTCCGTGATTTTAAGCGATTCAGTTTCTTTTGCGCTGGCATTTTTTTTTATTCTTCAAGGCACAGTTTGGGTTTTTTATGGCTAACTGGCGGCGGACGTGATGAGATCAAAGCTTTGAAGCATGTTTGGAATGTTTGACAGAGTCAGGTACATACAAATATTATGGTACCGATTATAGTGTCTATTTGTAGAAGGTCCATGCCCTACCTAACAACATGGAATACCTGCAATTTGTTTCTTTCTAAATGCAACTATCCGTAACGGGTGAAAGAAATAATTCGAGGCTTTTCACAATACTGTATGCATTAAATTCGGTAACATTAATAAATGAGCCTCTTCTTAGCATATATTCTCTTGAAATGGCAGATCTCAAATTTATTTTTAAAAAATAGCTCAGTCGATATAAATACTCAAATACAGCCAGTTTACGCTGTTTCCATTGTTTATTTACGATACATCAGCTCTCAGACGAATTTTTTTTTTCTTAATTGACGAAAAATTCAGACAAATTTTGCCAATGCCTAGAATACATTTTACATTACCTTTTTTACATATTCATTATCTCATTAATCAAGAATCTACAATTCCCCCTTCTATATCTCTGTATAAAAAAAAATCCGATACAAATGACTTTATAATGATTTCTTGAACGTTCCTGCTTTTGTTTCCTAGAGGTTTCTGAAAGAAATTCTCATTTATACCTTAACAGTCTTTTACACTTCACATACATCCAATGTGCATTAAATGATCGGTCTGGACTATACAGTGCCGAAGTCTGTGCAGTGTCCTTGTCTGTACATACGCGCAACTGAAATGATTCTAATGAAAATAAACACCAACAAATACTATTGTGGGGGGTCTCTATCATAGGATACGTATTCATGCAACAACAAAAAACAAAAACAAAAACGAGTAACAACTTATGAGAAAAGTCTGTTAGTAGTTTTATTCACATCCGATTTCCACAACATGTAAAATAAATGAGTGCACAGACCTTTCTATTTCGTAACGTCAAAATGACACAGCCGCCTTTTCTCGAAAAAATATATTGCTCTTGTTAGGATTTTGATAACAATTTTTCCCAAATTTACTCTTTAGAATATAAGGAATAATGTGATATTAAGCTTTAAAACGAATATAAGAGGAAATATAGGGTTCCCCATCATAAAATAATATACATGTATACCTATTGATGAACCAGTATCAACAATGCATCAATAAATTATTGAAAAGTACTCTGCATAAGTAAGTAAGTATCAAGTAAGAGAAAAATGTAAAAACAATAATCTACATACCGACACAAGAAAATATGGATCGATATTTAAGCGAACAGAATATTCAAGATATTACATGAAACGCTAAATTACCTGTATAAAAATGAACTTACTAAAGACTATCATTATTCATATGCATCAAACATTTCTGAGTAAGTGAAAGTTAACGAAATTATGTTTCTATATAAATAAAACTCTTAACACACAAGCACCAACTTACTAATGCTATAAACTGTCTTTAATATGGTTTTGTGAGTGACAATCATATCTATTAACAAAAATATATTCGGTATCAAACATTAGGCTCCTACACACTTGTATAATGTTTTGGTTGAAGCAATGCAATAAGTATATTCTGTATCTAACTTTAGGCCACATACACAACAAATCAATTATTTACATACCATACGACCATAATACATCTGTACCGATTAACATCAGAGTGAAGACAATGAAAACACAAGTTTTACTCTGTAAACATACCATGGTTGTTCACAATCTAAAAACAGATGGATAACATTTTACCCATTAAGGCTCGTTCAGATACGATGCGGCATAACCGAAGCCGTTTTTTTCATAATGACGTCAAGTTTAATATGCTTTACATTTCTGTATCTCATATTAACACAGAGCTCAGTGAATACATGCAAGTCCTTTGATTTGTGCAGTTGCTATTCATTTACGCGTGACAAAAAGCGACAGCTTTTTGGGGGCGGGTCACTGCACCATATCTGAACAAGCCTACAATGCGTATAAAAACGTGTGTCTAATTTTCGTAGCTTCTAAATTATAAGTAGTAGTTTTGGTGGCCTTGAATTGTATTTCATGTTAAAGGGTTTACAACCAATACACTGTCTAATTATACCATATTTATAATTGTGCTGCCATGGATGACAGACTTTTCAAAAAGTATTGTCAAAATCCTCTTTTTACCAAGTTTGACAAGTGGGTAGAGAGAACTTAGTAGGCTGCTTTAAATTATCAAAGGTTAACCTATGGATCGAAAGATTGTTCTGTGGAATTCTAGATACATTTACTTTGCATCATTATAAACAATGAAGCACTGAAGCAGGAGACTTAAAATTTAAAAGGATTTAAGACCAAAGAAACATATGCACATGGCCTGACATGAACTTGTTTGATCAATCTAAACTTGGTACAAGGCGATTTTGACAACATTTGTTTAAGTCACTCGTGGCACAAATATTATGAATAGGTTATCATTGGACAGAAAACAAGTTACTCTTTATCATGAAATATATTTAAAATTCACATTGGTTTTTAAATTTTAATTAGGAGCTATCAAAATTCGGATACCTTTTTTGTATGCACTATTATATTGGCTAAAATGCGAACTTGCATGCTTGTTGCTTGTTGGGTGGGGAAAAAGTATTAGGTATGATGTACCCTAATTGGGAACAGATTTATCCAGTAATATTTTATCTAACAAACATACAAGTTCAAAATTTACTCAATTTTACCCAACGGAGTAACAGAAAGGTAACAAATATTGTATTTACATTTTGGGAAACAAATTAACTTGACCAGAAGATATATTTAAAAAATGCTACATATTCTAAGCATCCACCATGCACATAAACGATTAGTATTTCAATGGTTCATATTACAACAAGTATGTTAATCTTTTTGTTTAATGTTATCTTATATGAAAACCAATCGAAATATCTATACAGCATTCCATAATTGTTATTTTGTAGCTTCAGATATGATGTCAGCGAATGTAAATACTTCAAGTTTTGTTGTGTCAGTTTTTTTTTGTTAATCTTTCAAATTGTTTTAAGTAGAGTGATTACAGTTGACTAGACTCAGAGTTTTACAAATGATTGGGCCTATACCAAAATTGAATGTTGAAAAGAAATGTGAGTAATTTAGGGTAATGCATTACTCACATACTTCGTCATGGATATTTTACATCAATATCAGATTCACTCAACACAGACTTGTTAATCGAATTCTCTGTTCCTGTCATCGTAGTCTGTTTCATACTCATCGGACCTGCATTTGTCGTCAAGGGTGAATCGTGGAGACAGCAACCCATGTGTTCCCGCAAATGCGCACGGCTTTGCGGTTGTCGGAGAACGTAGAAAACAAAGATGAAGAATCCTTGGAGAGAGTTGAGTAGAATGAAGATGACATGGACTGCGAGATTGAGTTGTTCGATCACGGTGAAGTATCCAACGAGCCAGGTCAAACCAAGTAGGAGGAGGACGCCGATCCCGTTTGTGAGACGGCGCATGATCTCGTGGCGGGCTTCTGATTTTAACTCGCTAGCATTCCTGCCACCCGATTTGATGCGCATGAGACGACGCATAACGAGAGCGAAGATGATCAGATTAAGAGCGAGAATGAAGGCCATTGGGATGAGCAGACCGCCTACGAGTGGCCATTTCTGAAGAAAACAGCTGTGCAATTGAAAATGGAAATAATCATCCTAACATACGGATAGACAAAATGCTTAATTCTGGTAGGGTACATGCATTAAAAGGGATGCAGAATATTGAACAAAATAAGTAAATAAAGACATACAAAAGATGTTCATCTTGCAGGATGCAAAGTAACCGAAATCAGATAATATTCTGTGGTTTACCCGGATGAGTGCAAGACGAACAGATTGACTATATGCCTTTATTCCATGTTACATTTCCCATACAAAGAATCTTGCGCTACGATTGGTCAAAAGTAAATCACGTGATAACAGATAGTTCGCCCATCATTGATGGGAGACGAAAAGTTCGTTGCACTGTATACACAGTGCAACGTACTTTCACTGAAGATACACAGTGCAAAGCGCTTAAGTACTGCATGCACTGTACATCGTTTGCTAGCTGTTGATTGATGATTGGTTGCTCTAAAATGACGGAAGGAGTAAAATTTTCCGATGTGGAATATAAAGCAAATAATCACCTTAGGTTTCAGGCGATGGCTAACTATCACTTCCTAGGCGATCTAATTATAAACGCTATCTTTCCTCAGCTTGCTTCGGAAAGATAGCTACATCCAGATCACCTCTGGCTCTGGAGTAAAAGTTTGTTCCATCACCTTCACCAACAGTAATTATGCTTACTATACTCTTATTTTGTATTACCAATCATATCTCCGGATTAAGAATATTTTTATCATGTCTAATCGACGGTTGTTTATGTTAACAAAATGTAATCCAACTATCTTAAAATACAACTGACATGCATACTCATACCATATAATGTTGATTGACAGTTTTGGTTTAGGCGATTCGCTCGATTTCCTTGCCTTTTTTTGTTTGCATACGTTCATAATAATTTCAATACCTGTAGTTTTCAGCGAAGATTTTCCTTTTATTTGAAAGATTTATTTGTCTGTCACCACAGCAGCTGAGGGTGCTGAGTTTTGTTTTGAAGAGCACTAAATTTGCTTTAAATCAAGAATATCCTGCATTTGCTGGATAGGATGAGAATGACGTAGAGAGTACTTACTAGTCGGAGTTGGCGTAATTCTGTCTCGAGATAACACCAGTAAGGATTACTATCGCAGCAGGTATTCCTGTCAAACAAATACATTAATAAAAATGTTTAGTTAATACTCTCTAAATATAAAAAGTTAAATTAAATAAAAAATGGAAGAACAAGAAAAAGGAAAACAAGAAGGAGAAACGATATTCCAGTAAGCGAAGAAATGCAAATAGAACAAACATGTATAGGTCTACTATTATAGAAAGTTAGCAATGTTTGACTCATTGATTGATTGATTGATTTCTGTTTTTTAATATGAAAGTGATATGCGAGTATAAAGTACTTAGGAAAGTAAATAATTAATATTTAAAAAGGAAGTAATACATTTGTATAATAGACGAAGTACAATTGATGAAGAACTGAAAATTATTACATAACATCGATGACCTGAATGTATTGATTGAAAAGGAGGGGCATGCTTAGAGAAGCAATGTTCGTATTGTGTAAGCCCTTACAACTTAGTTGCATAACAAACAAGTTATAACAACAATTTACCCCATGCAATGGTGGAGGCTTTCATCATGAAGAGTGGGATATACGAGTCCATGACACGGACAACCATTAGGAACATGTTTATCCCTTCAACGCCCATCCAGGACATCGATGAGAGCGTGGTGAAGTGGAGGACAGCGGCGATGACCCCACACAGACCTGGACCGACCTCGGGTTCTCCAGGATATCGGTCGAGTGCTGTCATGATGATGAAGAAGACGTACAGGAAGAGGAGCGTGATGCAGAGACACATTAAGATCCGGATGTGCTGCAGGCAACGAAGTTTCCTGGGGCAAAGAGAAACAGATACTTAATATGAACAAATGTAAATGTTCAGAGCGGAGTAGGTGAGTTGAATATGCTGACCTACTAAGTACATTCCAATTTCTAGTATCCGTTGACAACTGAAGCATCTCACTTGTAGCCACTACTCCTATAAAAAGCGTCTGTACTCTAAAAGGCTAGTTTAGATATCTATTTAGCTTTTAACTTTACCAAGGTTAATAGTAAATATTAAGAGGGAATACCTAACTAAAAGTAAACGAGACTTAGCTAGGGCTAAAAATCCATACCAACTTAGAAAGCATAAAACATCTTGTGTATTCGACCCCCCCCCCCCCGAAAAAAGGTATAATTAAAGTGGGTGTTAATAGAGTAAGATTTCTCTCGTGATATACCAAGATGAGGTAAAACGCTAGACTGACTAAACTAGGGGGACAATTGGAGTCTCCTTTGGTGTTGAGAACGTTTGATGATAGAAAAAGGGTAGGAACATGGAAGTTTAGAGGCAATCCAACCATTGTGATAGTTATCAGTACGAAAGCAGACAAATTAGAGAAACAGAATACCGAATTTTTGAATAAATAATTCTAATAAAATGAGAGTTATGACTGTTTGACAATTCAATCAGTGGATTGTGACGTTGCCAGGAACGTTTGTTGTACACAAAGATATCATTATTTTCTGTTATCTCTTTTGGGGCACTACTCGAGAATTATCATGGATAGCATATTATAAAAAGTTCTTTAAAAGAAAAGACCCTCTTGATTCACACATTTTGAAAAGAAAATGGAATATTAGTCATTTCGTGTGTAGCAGAAATTGGGAATGTAGTATGGACTCCATTAAAAGGGACATTACCGATTCAGTAAATTTAAAATGCATATGTTGTGGTTGCAACGTTTTAAAAAAAATCTTGGTTTGGGGGTCCGATTTCGTTGACAATTTTCACCTGCCTGCTTTTCTGATTTTGTTGTGCCTTCTTTTAGAATAAAAGTTTATGTTGAATTTTCCTCAAAGTCTTACCTATCAGTGCCGTAGACAGCCAGGGTCACCAAGAGGCCTACAATAGAGAGAGAACATCCTATGTAGCTGAGAATCCCAAACACTTGTTCAACTCTCTCAGATCTTCTGGGGATCCCACTCACATCCTGATGTGAAACAGAAGGCATCACAATGTGGAAATAGAATAAGCCAGTTTGGAGATAGTTGTATATAGTTGCTTTTAAATGTCTTAAAGATTTATCTCCAGACTTTGACAAAAAGTAACAACAGTACTGTTATGAATATGTAGATTATTGGATTGGAATATGCCAATTCCAAAGGATGACGTGTTGTTAGATGTTGAAGCTGATAAGAACCACGAATCAAAGGTAACGAATCGTCCGATTTCGTCTTGATATTTGAATATATTAATTTGATTCTAAATTGTCGTAGGGGATTATGTAAACAGTACATAATATTAACATACGACAATGGGCAAATCGCGATGATATCATAAGTAAATGTCATAATTTTTATAGAATAATATAAGAATGCAAATTATGCTATGGCTGTGCAACTCTCTGGAATAATTTACCTTTAAATATCATTATCACTACCATTATTATTGCCATTATTATCATTACCATTTTCATTATGTTTAGTATTATTGTTATTATTTTTATCTCCATTTGTATCATCATTATTATTTCATGTTCTTACCATAAGAACAGCAAAACTTGTTAGATGATTGCACTGGCATTCGGTATGTGTCTCGGAAGTGATTGTCAAAACACAGCCATCGCTTGACCAAGCATTAGTGGAATATTCCCAATAGACACACTGCGGATTTGTTGCATTTCGCTGGAAGTATATACAATTGTTTTGAGAGAAAAACACAATAAAAACAGGTTTTAAGTTCGTTCACTTTTCATTTCTGTACTTAGTGATTTGAAGCAAATTATTTCAGCCCATTGTGCAGTTGTACAGCTTACGAAGAGATGTTGTATCTTACCTGTTTGTGTTCCAGTGTTATGGTGACCGGATCATTCAGAGGTTTGGTTTCACTCGTACCAAGGCTCGCTCCGATGATATTAGTATTGACCGTGATATTGCGACGCCCATCATTGCTTCCCACCTGATTGTCTTGACCACCGTCCATTACAAACAATGCATCGTCTCGGAACACAGTAAATGCTATATTCCCCACGGTGCCTTCATCAATGGTCTCTGGCCCAATGACGACTGATGCTTGGACAACACCACCTCGGTTACCATTGCCGAGATTGTTGGTGGATAGCTGGATGTCACTATCATCAAAGGATTGGCTGTCATCGCCGATGATGGAGAAGGCAATCCCATCACGGACACCATCAGACTCAGAGTTGATTACCTAAAGAAATGCATTGTAAGATTAAAGGCTTGATCAGATATGGTGTGTTAAACCGTTCGCTGCAAAATCATTCAAGTAATTGCCTGGACCGGAGCAGGGCAAAGTCAGTGTTTGGAGCTGGTGCATGGAGTTACCATTGTTTAGCACAAATTAGTTAACCCTTACTGTACTGGGCTATTTCGAGCACTCTCTGACTGGGGGGGGGGGGGGGGCCTGGGAGCCCCCCCCCCCCCCCCCCTATGATCTTGGCCGTCGAATGTCCGATGAACGCGAAAATTGCATGTTTGTAGATATTTACGTAAGGAACAAGATGGTATAATTAGTTTTTTCCTAATATGCACATTTTTGTCGTTATAGCCTAATTAATTATGCAAAATGCTAATTTTATGCATTTTACAGAAAACTCTACATATTTGACCGTAGACTTGTGAAGAATCTTGAAAATGTATTGAATAAATGTTTCCTTCATCTCAAATTCCTGAGGTTTCATTATTTTTGTGATATTTGAAGATGCATAGGTAAATTTGCATAAATTATAAATACGCATTCATGAATATCAAATCTGGAAATATATATAGGGAACTAAAATCATTACAAAAATTGTCAGACTTCACTCTTTGAATGTTGAATCTCATTATTCATATGAAACTTCTTTTCTAACACAAAATAGTTATTTAATGTAATTAATAATGATAATGTATGCAAATTTGATGCGATTTTCAACTTTTATTTTCTTATGTATTTATTGTTTTTTATTTCTTATTATATCTATTGTTTTATTTCTAATGTATTCATATCTTCACATTTCTGCTTGTACATGAATATATGCAATTATAGCACTTTTTTGATGACATGCGCATACTAATTGTTATGTAACACCTTACAGGTATATCCGATTTCGACGAAAATGGTATCAAAATGTGCGTAAGACTTGAGGAGAAAAAGTCATGAAACGACAATTCGAAATTCCGAGCGGTTGCGGCGCGATCTCCGAAAATTTCGAGGGAGGCTCCCAGGCCCCCCCCCCCCCCCCCCCAGTACAGTAAGGGTTAAGCAACCTTCACAACTAGTCTAGTATGAAGTCACACTTCGGAAGTGTATTTAAATCCAGACTTATTATGTTCTTATTTTGTTTATCATCGTACCTGTACCACTAGGTTTGGTGCCACTTGTTGGAAGGTCTGGTTGGATGGCACATTGACTGCTAGAAGGATTTTCTCCAAGGCCATGGTGGCTCTGCTGACAGCACCATTCTTCTTCTCAGCATCCATGGTGAGGGATTGGTCTAACGTGGCCAGGTTGCTTACGATGTCCACGACTGAGGCAACATTCTAGTATAAAACAACAAAAACAATTAATCTACACCTGCCACTCTCCACCCAGGTGTTTAATGGTACCCGGGAGAATGTAATGGTTTGTGTAGTTTGCTGAGCATTGTGAGGGTCTGTAAAATAGCGCCTGGCTGGAATACACCCAAGGGAGTTAAAAATGTGCATACATTGTGTGCAGGCTATCCTTTTGACAAGGCCTCGTGACTCTTGCTATTTTCCATCCCAATCAGCGGCTGGGATGAGCCTAGAGACCCGGGGTGAACGCGCGATCGAGTGGCTTTAGTCGCTAGGCCTTTTGGATTCTGGCTCTGCATGAATTATTATTGACTTTGGATTTATTGGCCCAAGCCTTGAGCCATAATGCATGGTCGTACAGAGGATTTTTTTTATGTTGGGGACAGGGGAAATGCAATGAATTATTGAAAATGTATTGCATTTTCTTTGTCTTTGTTTGTTTGTGAGAACTGCCCCCACCCTAGCCCCCGCTGCGTACAGTCATGTTTCAGTGGCCAACCAATGGCCTTGTAACTGTGAGGCCCCAGGATCAAAACTGTGTCGATGTGCTATATTAGTGCCCTTTTGTGGGGCATTAATCCTCATTACCGTCATTTATGACTTAAGGGTGTAGGTCCCCTAGTTGTTAAGCATAGTAGCATACACATGCTTGAGAAGTCACGTAAAACAAACACTTGCAAATTATTATTCAATAAAATCTGAGAATGTATACTATTATCTAGATCTATTTGGAATAAATCATTGTCAAAATAATTCCATAAATTGGGATAAAAAAAAAGATATTCCAACTATATGAGCGACAGCTAGTGTACAATAAAATAGGCAGCATTTCATGACTTGAGCTAACAATTGTAAGTGATATAATTGGACTTTCCCTCTATATAAAATGAACCAGTCCAACTCATTTCGTTCAATTTCGTACTACGTAGAGTTTAATGTGAACGTGATGGATAATATATGCCAACGTCACGCGATGATACGTTCGGTGATTGGACACTACCATTTCGGTAGAAAATTCCAGTCGAAAACAAGTGTTAACATAAGAAATCCAAACCAGATTACTAAAGGCCACTTGAAGGGGACACTCACTCTGGCGTTCACTCGGGTTTTCGCGATTAGTCTCTTTTAAGTCGCTCGGCGTCTATCAGACATGAGGCCTTGTCTAAAGGCTATGTGCAGGCAAGCCTTAATCTGTACATCGCTTAGAGACATTATCGATGCATTAAGCACTATACAAATATGGATTATTATTTATAATATTATTACAGCAATACTGAAAGAGAAAAGAAGAAAAACTTTCACTTATTTCTTTCAGCTGGGTGATCTTCCATCAAATAAATTATTGCTGATTATTTGTTTTTTTAAATCAATGAAATCACCTCTTGGGTTGGTTGAGAAATCGACCCTGTCTGGTGAATGATGTCAAAGGCAGCATCGACCCCAGCAGAAGTAACATTCGTGTCTTGGGAGATCCCAGTCAATACTGACAGGGCGTCCTGAATGTCGCTTTCACCAGTCATCAGATTCTATCCAAAAAAACACCACAGTTTGAAATTACCGGTTATCGATTTTTATTCTTGTTTAATTCAGATACTTAAGGTACCACCCTGTTACCATTAAATTAATGACAGGAGTAGGCAAACAAACTACGAAATAACACGTCGCTCATAAAGTTTCAGTTCTGATTATTTATTATACAAATATGTTGTATGTTGTTTGTTGTTGGAGCAGCAAGAAAAGCAATGTTGACAAGTCGAGAGTCCTGAGGAGAAAATGTGCAGATGAGAATTGTGCGAGAGATAAATTATCAATAGAGATTAGTAAAAACCAAGAGGCATTTACCGAATTTGACCGTGAGACCAAAAGGCTAAACTGCATATTATGATTAAAGGTAAAGACCAGAATTGAAAACGTCCCAATTTCAAAAAATGAAATGGAAGCTTTTATTACCACTCATGTCAAAGAATATGTTTTGACTAATACATGATGATAACAAATTTGCCAGGAAACCGCCTACTAATTGATATATTTGGTAAATTAGTTTATCTATTGGTATGTGAGAGATAAACGCACATGCCGCGCACGTGTGCGTAGTCCCATATACATCTTTCTGTGTTCAGGGCTTGTAACTTAACGAAGACTGGACCAATTTCTTATCCTTTTGATGATTCCCAGGGGCGGATCTAGCTTTTTGCTAAGGGGGGGGGTTTGACCAAAATAATGACGATGCAGAGCATCGTCCACGAGCCGCGTAGCGGCGAGCCGATTTTTTTTGGGGTGTTTATTTGAACCCCGTAAGTGATGTTTTCCTGGCATCTATTAACACAATGGAGACCATAAAAAGCAGTGCATGATAACGTCTTTTTAAATCAAGTAACAGCTTAATACACAGTTATATCCAGCCTTTTTATCATGTGTTTGGTTAAGTTACCAGATGAGTTGAATATCTTCTCACAATATTTGCACTTGAAAGGGTTTCTCTCCAGCGTGCGTTCTTTTTTCTTTCTTTTTTTCTTTCTTTCTTTTTTTCTTTTTTTTTTCTTTTTTTTTGGGCCGCCCAAGGGGGGGGGTTTGAACCCCCTAAACCCCCCCCCCCCCCGTAGATCCGCGCCTGATTCCAGAACCTTGCAGTATACACACCAATACTTATATGCTAGATGAACAACCTTTTCGGATCGATTCCACAACGTTTCTTTCACAATGCAATCGCATGACAAGAACTGGCCTTTATCTTTAACGACCCAGCCAAGCACATGAATCACGTTTTGACGGCAACGGCTTGGGTGGGTCGGTGATAAAGGTAATGAGTAGAAGGAGCGTTTATCCTAACCAGAGGACTTGTGGTTAGATGTGACTTGTGACAGATAGAGAGAGAATTTTGAAATACGCTCATTAGGAGATTTGCTACACTGTACGCTGCCAAACACCTAGTAACATAGAGTCAATTAGAAATTCGGACTTTAAAAATACAATCCTCCATTTATATAACACGTACAAGTAGAAACCATAATGGCAGATGTTGCAGGCTTCACTTTATATCGGAATTTTGACGACGAACCCGTCTGCTGATCAAAAATTGGTTCATTGTTCATTTGTTGAGTAAAGTCTTAGGTACAAATATGGGAGACATCAGAGTATGGATGGACGATATATATTCAAAACAACAACGGCAAATAATAGTAATATAATAATACTAATGGTGGCTTCTTACACTGTCGCTCATAACGGTGGAATAAGAATCCTCTGTGTGCCCATGCCTTGAGCCATAATACATGGCCGTCCAGAGGATTTTTGTTATGTTGGGGACCGGGGTAAAATGCAATAAATTATTGAAAATTTATTGCATTTTTTTGTTTTTAATTTATGGAAACTGCCCCCTACCCTAGCCCCGCTGCGTACAGTCATGGTTCAGTGACAAAGCAATGGCCTCGTAACTGTGAAGGCCCTAGGATCAAAACCGTGTCGATGTGCTATATTAGTGCTCTTTTGTGGGGCATTAATCCTCATTGCTGTCATGTATGACTTAGGGGCGTGGGTCCCCTAGTTGATAAGCATAGTAGCATAAACATGCTTGAGCAGTCACGCAAAACACACATTGGCAAATTGTCATTCAATAAAATCTGAGAATGTATACTATTATCTAGATCTATTATTTTTAAATTATTTAAAATAATTCGATGAATTGGGGTAAGACAAAAATATTCCAACTATATGAGCGACAGTGTATATAGCGCACATGTCCGTCACGTTGTGACGCTCCTGGCGCTGCCCCGATTATTTCCCTGGCTTTAGCAAGGCAGCCACTACCTAATCGAATCAAATTCAATTGTTTTCCTTTAAGTGGTACTGTATTGACGTCAAAGCATTCTAAGAACAATCATGATACATGAAATCGTATTTCCAATTCATATCCTATCAGAACATGGAAGAAAAATTGGGGGGCATTCTGAAGAGTTATAGCGGATCCAAAATACGTACTTTTTCGCGGACCACTTCTGGCAATTCTTGCATATGCGCACATGCATCAATTTAGAGGTTCAACGAACATCTATGAGCTAAATTTAGGTCAAATTGCTAAGAATAGTATCACCAACACAACACAAGAGGAAAAATTGAATTGATAAATTCACTAAGGATGGTACACGTAAAATGCGCGCGCTTGTGTCCGCGTTTGCACATTTTTGAAATGTTCGAAAAGACCTGAAACATGTAGTAAATTAGTCCAATAAGTATTTTGACATTTCAAATGTTGATGCACACGTACGCGTCCCACATGACGCGCGCACATACATAGGTGTTACCAAAAGTTTACCCATGATGTCAAGTCTATGCATATCCAATATCATTCAGAAATGACAATGTATGACTGAAATATGGTCAATAAAATAAATTAACAAAATGGCGCCTAGATGACGTCATGCATTAATGATATTTTAAAAATCTCATCGTTAGGATCAACAAGCATGCATATGGCACATGTCATGAACATTTAATTGTCATTAACCATGTCATTCATGCATGGGTGTCGATCTGTAACTGATACCTATTCATCAGGGGGGGGTGATCTATTCATTCATCCCCCCCCCCCCCTGATGAATAGGTATTACGTAAGGATCGACACCCATGCATTCATGTGATATGAAGCGAACAAAATCCATACAAAATGAGAGGGGTGGAAAAAGAGATTCTGACGATATCTTTTAGGCCTATTTCATTTCAAATTTTAAGTTTGTTACCTGATTGTGTGGATAAAGTATAATTTTTCAAGCGTTTAAGGGTGAAGGACATTCCGCAGTAACATTTGTGTGCACAATAGCTGATCATGTATTTACTACGCACAATACCAGGAACTCCATAACAGACTAGAATAAGATCAAGTTTACCTCTTCTAAGTAGATTAAGAGTTGATCAGCTGTTTTATTGACACCGCAGTTATCTGAAGGTACCCATGCACAAGGATAGATATAATCACCGGAGCAGACGGCTCGTGCTATTGGCTCTCCATCTTGATATATCCAGAACCACAGTGAATAAATGTATTATTAGTCTCATATTAACATGGTATATTGCGTGAAGATGTCAGGGTATGGTGGTTCTTTGTTTCGACTCTCAATATCAGGGTTAAGGGTTCGAATCCTAGTCTAATACTGACGTCCTTTGGCAACACCCAGGTGTAAATGGGTGCCTAAAAGTTCCTGGGGTGGTAGAATGCAGGGCACCCATGAAGAATAGCATGATGCTGATGAGGCTTCCCGGGTTAAAAATTATTATTGATATTATCATTACTATTATCAATATTTTTCTTCTCCTTCTTCTCCTTCTTCATTTTCTCATCACTATTATATTACTATTAGCATTGCTATCATTATTAATACATGTATTAATACTGTTCTTACAGTGAAACTAGTCTATAATAACCACCCAAGAGAGACAAGAAAAGTGGTCTTTATAGGCAGGTGGTCTCTATGTACAGGTGCCTATAATACATGTTTCAATGAGAAACCATTGTCAAGGGAAACGAAAAATGTGGTCTTTGTAGACAGGTGGTTTTTGTAGACAGGTGGTCACTGAAGCAGGTTTGACTGGTTTATGATATTCATGTTTTATAAAAAGAACTTTCTAGTCGGTACTAATCTTAACATTCATGGGTTTGCTTTCTCATGTAAGCTTAACTATCTAAAGACTAAAAGAAAAAATATTTTAATATCAAAAATATTTATTTCATGTACCCTTGATGGTGAAAAATGGACATTCTCCACTCGATTCAATCCACGAATGAAGGTCTCCTGACGAAAACTGGACAATACCATACGGAGATGACCAAGAGGTGTTTGGACATAAAACTAAAAGAGAGAGAGAGAGAGAGAGAGAGAATTTGGATTTCATAATTTGTCATTGCAGTTTTTGGTACATTTTAAGAAGTGATGCGACGAGATATCTTTAATAATTGCTTTAGGTTTGCTTTCTTGAAAGTCTGTACAATTACCTTAGATATGGAAAGATAAATCAGATCGCAAATAACGCAATATTGCAATATCGTAAAAGACGTCGCTGCAAACCTCGCTTTTCCCAGAATTTCTATTTTTCTTGAATTCATATGAATAGTCAGAACCCCGACCACAAATATTTACAAGTTCCAATATTCATATCGAATGCAATAGCACATATTTCCAATATCGAATCGTGGTTAGATCGTATAGTATTCACTTGGCTTCAACTTATATCAGCACACTATCTCCACTTAGTGACGTTTTTGCATCATTTTTAGTCTATCAACATTTATCAACAATGCAGTACGTTGTAACTATAAAAAAATTATAGTTTATAAATTGGCAAAATACAGTAGTATAAGAATAAAATCACTATTTTTATGTACAAATTGGCAAAATTAGGTTAAATTTGACAATTTTTTTCTTCACATAGGTTCATCTGATAATTTTTTACTTCTCCAATCAATAAAGGCGTGGAAAACAAGATAATTTTTTGCCAATTGGAAGAGAGAAAATTATTAATTTAGAAAATTATTAATTTAGAAAATTAAGAAATAAGAAAAATACTGAACTCCTATAGCTGGTTAAATATGATTTCAGTTGAGCAAGGTTCACCTGTACTTAGTACCAGAAGGGTGGAAGGGTCAAAGAAACCGTCAGAGCTTTTCGCCACAGAGGATAATCCGCTCCACAGCAGGTCTATTTCTTCTTGTGTACTCATGCTACTGTTGGCTATGTAAGCTCTCATATCAACCAATACACCGTCATCTGGTAGAAGTTGATTCACGTGAATGTAAATAGTACCATTGGTGTCACTCTCAGTTTCAGGCGCCTCAAACACTGCCTCGGACTAGATATCAAATGATGCCCAACATTATCATCGATGTTTAATCCAGTTGATTATTTTTTACATAAGATTAGACATTTCCTAGCAACTGTCTTTTCTAGGGTTTGGCTGTATCTTACATAGACACTGAAAATGTAGCAAAATGAATTTTGCTAGTTTTACATATTTTGCATAATGTTTATGAACTATACACGATATCATTAAACAATGGTAATTAATATCTCTGTGAGCGAAGCAAATTTGCATGTCGAATTCATATTAGACAATGAATTGAACGAAGGAATGAATATGTGAATGAAAGAAACAGGTAAAAATGTTTTGTTTTCTGTCTCGTTTTGTTTTTGTCTTGGCTACCAGTAAACTTGAATAGGCTTCAAATTTTAAGAAGCAGGGCAACATTGCTTCCAAATCAAGGATGTACCCTCAGAAAAACTGGGAACAGTTGAGGAGAATTTATAGCATTCTAATTCAGAGATATATTACAAGTGACTTTACAGCTTCCATCCCTTACCTTTTCTTGAATATCACGCACAAGGGTCTTGTAATCTGAAGATTCTTGATCAGCTTGAAATGTCGTGAAATTTCCTACAAGCTTGAACTTCAGATGAAAAATAGACATATCTGTATTTTTTTTAAAAATCATAGATACTGTTTAAAATATACGATATTTCACAAAAGTTCTTACACAAAATTCACTCGAAACTTATTTTATGAAATGAAATTACATTTTTATTAGGCTACCTTCAATATACCCCCCCCCCCCAAAAAAAAAAAAAAGAAGTAGTGTTGCAATATGCAGATGATATATTGTTGTGATACGATGTTGCTTAGTTTCAACGGATATGTGTTGTTTTATATACACTAATGGGTTTGTATGTATCATGGTCTAGAGGATATGTCACGGGAATGTGGATTATATGGTTCGCGATTGGTGTCATGCCACAGTACTAATGTCCTTTGGCAAGACATCGATCTACATTTGCCATTCGTCACCCTTGTATATTTAATGGGTACCTGGTGGGAGTTTGTTCCTTAAACGCTTTAAGCGCCTTAGAGGAACTAGGCTAAAGACAGGGTAACAAAACTACTCAGTAGGCACCTGAACATCTCCGGGATGGATACGCGCGCAATATAATTGTAGCTGTTAGTTAGTATTATTATAATCCCAATTAAATTTACTGACAAAGAGTCCCGGATAATTTTTTATTTTTTTTTTTTTTTTTTTTTTGGGGGGGGGTAATAACAGTTTGGGTAAGTTTCATATTAAAGTGGGGATAAGAAGATATAGAAGAAGTTGTCTTGGGTCGTTGTCTAAAGGTAAAAGTTTAGATGTAACTGTTTTTGTGTCAAAAAATCCCTATCTAAAAAAAATTACCTCTGATTCTAAGCAGTGCGTGGTTGCTTTCAATATGAGGTCCGTTTTCTGGGAAACCGACACAGCTATAATACGCCTGATCAGAGGGGGTCATCTCACCGATGACATAGTTAGATATATCGCGGGTGTCAGGCACCTTTTTTCCATCTCTCCACCAGTCAAAGTGCAGAACATCTTGGAATTCACAGTTCAATACTACCATCTCCGATATACCTACAGTTTTATTTCTGGGGTGAGAGGTAACGGTTGGCACACCTAGTAAGGATGAAAAGAGAATATCCCAGAGCCTTGAACTTGAGATGGATACAATATTCGCTCAATCAAAATTCCAATTCCCATAACAGAACTATGAACACAAATATAGACTATATCATTGTTTTATGATTTTATATTTCTTTCAAAAATTATCAAGTAGAATACCAAATCAAACCTCGCTACAGTTTATACAAAAACACAATGAGATATTATGATACAAACAAAATGTTCATTGATAACTATGAGTTATTTTCGTCAATGTTGATTATCTTTTTTGTATGCAACATATCATTGTAAAATCATGATAATTTTCTAAAAATAAATAAATAATTTATCAAGGTATCTTACTCTCATAATCAATTGATTATTAAACAATCGTTGGATATTGGAATATGAATACCGGTAATAAAAAATGTTGCAATTCCTCACCTCTTTAAATATTGATCTAACTCATGTTTGGAGTGCTAAAACTAGAGACAAATGTTATCCATGGGTAAGGCATGACACAGAGCTGTCATAACAACAATCATTTCATCTAAGTTGCGTTTTTTTTTAAACTTAAACACCTGTTCTGGTATTGTACACGCGAATGAAACCCCGTCACCCCAATGTATGCTGCAGATATTTCAATAACAGACAATAGATGATTGAAATCTGATATGATTTTTATTTGGCAAACGGGCATTATTTAGTTTAGAACACATGAAGCTCATACCATCTTGTGTTTGGTCAATGTTGCATGTTGTTCCTGCGTAGAGCGATGAGCAAGCACACTGTTGTTCAGCTGGTATGCAAGTACCTCTATTGAGACAAGGGTCCGACGCACAGAAGCCTATTGAGAAAAACACATTGGTTCAGTGGTAAAGCTGTGATATCCAAACTAGAAGGGCCTAGGTTCCAAGCCAAGTAAATGTGTTATTGCCCTTTGATAGTTCAATAAGCCTCAATTACCAAGTCCCTCGGATAGGACTTAGTTCCACAGATTGCTACAATGAGTCACTTTGGAGAAAGCACTTGTCCAAATGACACAACCAAAGTGATGGAGGTATTTCCTTTTATATGATTACTTTTATGCCATTCTGATTCTTATTCTAGTTCGCAATAGGTTACCTCCTTCATTATCCGAAACAATCCTTTCAATGTTTATCATTTTATAGACAGAAAAAACGAGGAAATTATTGTTTAAAACATGACTTCCGACAAACTGTCGTACAAGGTCTGCGAAACCTACCACTCTGACAATAGGTGCCAAACCATCCCTCAGTGCAGTTACAGGTGAATGAGTTTGGATGATCAACGCATGCTCCTCCATTCAAACACGGTCCGGAATTACATTCATCAATATCTATTTGAGAATTGGAATTTCAACAAAATGACTAGTTAAAGGGGGAAATGTATGCATTTCTTAATTTTATTTATTTCAATATTTTCCATCTCCACTCCAAAGGAGTACATTTCACAATCAGATGCAATATGTCCTATACGACGACTAATATTATGTAGCTTGTTTATATCTTGACCAGTGTATACGTAAATACAGTGCGTCCCAGAAAAAATGAAACTGAGAATTATCGATGTTTCATCATAACTAAATCACAATTGTAATTAATAAATAACACATATTTGGAAAGCTAAGATCCTCCCCTTTCATTTTATGCAACTCATATAATGCATGTTTTCGCGCATGAGTGATTAAAATGAATTTGAATACAGGAAACTAAAAAGTCATTTGGCGGACGGTATCTGAATTTCAAAGAAAAAATCACAATTCCAGGAAGTTGAGTTTCTGCCCTTTCATATGAAAAATGAGCTAGGAATAACAAAGTTCCGTTTGTTTAAGGTAGTGCTTGCATTTCCATAATTTTATCAAACGAATTCGTTTTCACTGGCTGTCTGCCGTAGCAACTAACGGAATTAACAAAAGACTTAACCCTAATAAGGCCGGGGGGGCATTATGCCCCCCCCCCCCCCCCCCCACCTCCACAATTTTTCTGATTGTTCGAGAACGCATATGGATGGCGCATCGCCGGTCGCTGACTTTTTTCTTTAGAGTCTTGCGCATCTTTAAAAAAAAAAAAAAAAAATCGGACCTACATTTACAAGGTCACGTGACCTTTTGTCTTTGCATGTCAGCCCGAAAATCGCTCATTTTTGTGATTTGTGTACAAAACATATCGAAATGTCATTTTTCCTAAAAATAGATCAAACATTGGTTATTGGGTCTTGTTTAAAGTTTAGGTGGTTGTTTTGGGAGTCAAAATAGATGAATAGTAGGAAGATCTTAGGGGGGGCATAATGCCTTCCCCCCCCCCCCCCCCCGGCCATAGTAAGACTTCAAATAGCCCGGCCTTATTAGGGTTAACTCCCTTTCGTTGACAATCAGCCGTAGACGAAAGACTTCATGCATGGCTGATTGTCAATGAAACGGAGTTAAGTCTTTTATCAATTCAGCTTGTTGATACGGCAAGCACCACTTTAGGCATTGGTTTGAAGAACATTCATCAACATCTGTGAAGTAATTCAATTAATGACATGTTAACAAAAATCTGTCATTCAAGATTGAGCGCTGATATCTATCTTGCTGCTATATTACTATATTGACATTGCTTTCATTGAAAAGCCAGTTTATAACCCTTATATGTGGGGCTAAGTGAAGAAAAAAAAATCTTGCCAATTGCCGTGTTTTTTTCAACTGTACAATGAATTCTCCATTTGTTTAGAGGATGGATTGTGTTTCTAAAAAGGTTGAGGCGGTCATTGTTGACAAAAATAAAGCATTTTGCAAACATTTCTCTTTTGACTTGGTCCCATATTCAGGTGACATGGCATCGATCATTGTAAAGGGGCAAAAGAAACAAAATCTACAGTCAAACTAGACTTGCAGAACTTGTTTTGAGAAGTTTTATTTAGTTGTACCGATTTCTACAAGAGCATCGGGCATTTCAGAGTCCGATACCGATATCAATATCGATAGCTTAACACCACTGTGAAAAAAAAAGAAAGAAAAAACACTGACATCGCCACACTGACTTGATTTCACGACGATGATTTAAAAATAGTACGTAAAAACCAAAGATATCATGAAAAGCACAGAATAAGTTTACACTTATTTCTCTGGTCTTATAAAATAATTAATTTTACACAAAAGAATATATGAATCACACAGTAAAGGACCTGTTTCACGTATTTTTATTTGATTGTCTGACAATAACATAGCGTTGTTCGTGCGTTGACTGTTGTGCGGGTACAATACTAACACCAAACTGGAAATGAATATTTGCTTAATCCCTAGGGGCTAGTGTTAGTGAATAGGACATTCGTACGTAAAATATTAACACCAGCCACAAGCCATAATTTGTTCTTCTATGTAATCCTCTGAATACACTTTGTTTTGCCGAATAAATAATAATAATAATAAAAGGATTGGTTCAGCAGACGACAATTTTGCATAATCAATAACACTAGCTACCGGAAGTTGACGAAATTCAGAGATCAAAGCCTTAACACCAGCTGATTTCCATTTTGGTGTTTAGGGCTTGTGTTAGTGTTTATTAAACACTAACACCCAATTTGAAGTCAATCATTGTGATTGACAAGTGGTTGTACTATAATGGTAAAAATACGTCTGGTCACAAATACGTGCCCTGAATATACACGTGGCTTAAATTCCTTAAATATGTATTTTTTTTTTTTTAATACTCATGTTCCTACATATATTAATGAAACAACTTTATTCCGTTTACATGGTTTATGAACCCATTTCCACTTTTTAATTCATAGCATATATAATTTATTTATAGTACAATAATGCCAGAATGGGACACTGCGTTTAATTTTGTTATTTGTTTACACTTTTGTACACATAATTTACACACGCTTGTTTCTTTAGATCTTCTGCAGGTGCCCATTTCATTTCTTAATTTCCAACTTTCTTCATATTTGCTAGTACTATAGTAGAATTGTTTATTTTTGAAACATGTTAATCCGATATCATCACCATTACGTTTTATCTATCAATTTATTTATGTTAATTGTGTTTAAAATGTAAATGGTCAAAATCTAAATGTTACGAGAAAAGGAAATGAAATTCTTTGTCCATTCTCTCTTTTTTATCTTCTTTTTTTCCCCACTCATCCATGTATGTAAATTCGATTTATTTTATGTATGATGTGCAATATATTATTATTGTTAATTCATTCATTGAACTAATTCGTGATCGTTTCGATATTAATGTACATGTATTTTTAATTTCTTTGAGCTTTGTAATATTTGTTTGTATCAGTCTCTTGACTGTTTTAACATGGAATTTTGACACAATAAACCGAAATGAATGAATGAAAAAAAACGTTCAGAATCGAATCATCAAGATACATCATTTTTATTCTACCTTTACTTAAAGGGATAGTTGAGTTCTTGTTTGAGACCGCAAGTGCCTTCAAAAATCATGGTTATTGCTATTGTTCTTATTTATGACATTTCTAGTGCCCTTTTAAAGCCTAAAATTACTCTGAACGTAATTTTAGACCCCGAAAATGTGTGAAGTTTATGTTAAATACGATCATATCAATATTCAGCTCCACTTTCACACAAAAAAATGACTGTTAGTTAATTAATAATAGCAATGAACGGGCCGGCTGGTTGTGCGTACCAACACGAAAAAGCCAACAAAAAGCCAACATTGGCATCGGCTGGAATAAAACGTATGAGGCGCTATCTCGTTTTTTCAATGGCTGGTTCAACATTATCGAATATTTGTGGGGCACCACAAATATAAGAAATGGTTTAATTTATGGATATTTCAGCCTTCTCTGAACCGATTTTTTTTTTTTTTTTTTTTATAAAACAAAGATGATTTGTCATTTAAATTGTATGTTCTTTCAAATTTAACACTCGGTTTTCCATTATCTCACAAAAGATTATTTTGTGTAGCTCCCTCTGCAACAAAACACTACTTTCCCTTTAATTTCAATACAAAACTGGACATCCCATAGAAATCACATTTAGATTATTATAGACCGTTGTAATGTTTAAATAATTCAATAGATGAAGGATGAGGTTATTGAAACTACCTTAGGTTTATTTTCGAAAGTCTTTGCGATTGTTTTCATTCTAGAGGAGTACCCTTTTGGGGAAAAATACACTACCTGACAGTGCGAAAATAGTATGAGATGGAGAGGGCTTATACCTTCTGCACACGTTGTCCCTGTCCAACCAGATTGGCAATGGCAGAGAAACGCATTGACCTTATCTTCACATTCACCATCATTTTGACAAGGTCCAGATTCACATTCATCAATGTCTAACAAATAGAGGAAAAGAAGGTGAAAAAGTTGAAAAAGTTGAAAAAGTTGAAAAAGTAGGCAGCAACATTTATTTAATACATGATCACATGCTTTAGTACAATAAACTCACAATGATACGATCATGGTGATGATTGTGGGTTCTAGTATGGCGCTCATGTCTGTCAAACTTAACACTCTAGGTGCCCTAATATTGATGGCTGATTCCCAATAGATAATGATAGAAACCATTTTGGTAATAGGTTAGTTTTCTTATAACTATTGACCGTTTTGATGGGCATGGTTTAAAACTATTGCCAAAAGGGATCTCAAAACTGTACTGTGCCCCAAGAAGACGTTGCGATATTTGTTTTATTTTAATACTGCATCACACTTTTCAATTTAAAGAAAGAGAGATATTAAATACAAATACTTGTCAAAACGTATTTTCATGCATTTGTAGGAAAATTATCTGACCAAGAGTAAGCCTATTTCTCATGTCTCACTGCGCTTTGTTAACTTCAAGCAAAAGCAGAATTATGCCCAGTAAATACTTTTTGCTATACTGCCCAGTATATATATATATATTTTTTAATATTGAGGGGGGGGTGTACGGTACGGTTTCCCATATACAGTACACACAACGGTCTGGACACATTTTTTTTCTGGTGTAGCACTCATCTATTCGATACACCAAAACAACAACAAATAATAATTTTGACAAAGAGGCAATGCCACAGATACAATGCCATACACAATTTGTACCAAGATTGATAACTTTCATGAAATATGAACAAATAACAAAAATTGATTTATTAATTGTCATATTAAGTTTTGAAAATAAAATCCTAGTCTACTGAACCAAAAAGACCTTTGACCTTGACTTTGTGTCACATGGTTTGTGAATTCTTAATAACCCTTGGGTACAAGTTTCATGGAATTTGAACAAACACTTCTGAAATTATGCTAAAAATTCAAAATCTTGATGTTGATGCCACAACAAAGTCTGTTTGCAGACCTGAAATGACCTTTAACCTTGTCATCTAAATTCTTATCCCATGATTGGTGATACTTGATAACCCTTTAGTTCAAGTTTCATTGAATAAGAACTTAGCTTTCAAAAATATGTTAAACATTCAAAAACTGAACCTTAATATAGGTTAAAGTAGATATTCATTGATTTTAAAAACTAACTTTATTTTCATTATTGCAAAGTTGAAACTTTGATTCGACAAGGTTATCACAATTCAATGCTTCGAAACATTCGAAGTTATGATTATTATAAATTACAAAACGCATAAATACAGCCCCGACATAGCACCTGAAGAGCTCTCCGAACGCTGATGAGTTGTGTGAGATCACAGTATGGACATGACTTGCACAAGCATACGATGTCCCATGACATCTCACACATTTTCAGTGCCTGTGTTTTCATCTTCTCTTGAGTTCTTTCTCTTACTTCACTACTGTCAGGCTAAATGTATAATCTATTGCCTCACTCTAAACCCCGCGCATGTTTTTATTTTGATGACAAATGCAGCGATACAAAAATAAAGGAATCTGACGCTTGTAAACAAAATAAGACACCATTGTATATTCAGCTGCCCACACCGGGGTATGTTCGGCGTTTCAAGAGGGAACAAATGCCGATTTGAAAGTCTGGTTTCTTTGATTGTTAATTAACCCCTATCCTGTGTATTTACAAGCAAACGATTTGAGTTATCAGAATCGGGTCGTACCCCCTTTTAAATGGTTTGACATGCCATTACATTTATATACACTAAACTCATTATAATTTGAGAAATAATAGCTTTGCAATTATGTTTATTCTCTATGGGATGTCGTCTGCTTGGGCAGTGTTGGTCCATATAGTGACGTCATTAAAACATCGTTATTTTTCCAGCGAATCTCTCGTATAGGCCCAGCTTCTATGGAGGTGGTTGTATTTGTATTTTTATAAATCACCCGATATGTAGTTGATCTAAAATTTGTATGATGGCCATCTGTTAGCTTACCAGTTTCTAGTAATACATTAGTTGACATATTTGTGATCTTCTTTGAATTTCACCTTTAAGTTTTTTATGTTGACACCGCCGCCACCGGAAAAGCGGTGCCTTATGTCTAGCTTTTGCTATGCAGGCGAGACAAAAATGTTTAATACCAACTTAACATCATGGTTATTGATATGATTATTATTATCATCATTATCATTATTTATATTATTGTTATTTATCTGACAATATTATTTTTATGAACATCATCTTTAATCAAATCAAATCATGTACAGAAATTGAGGTTTAATATGCAAAACAAAACATCAAAGGAAGGAAAAAATAGTCACCAGTTTCACATCTTGTTCCTATCCAGCCAGAATTACAGGTACAACTGTATGCATTCTGAAGATTGTTACAGGCTCCATTAAGACACGGGTCAGACGAGCACTCGTTAATATCTGCATAGAAGGAAAAGTCAGATCATTCCTGTTAATGTTAGGAATAACAATCAATCAACATTTATTACAGGTAAATGTACATATATGGTACAACGATTTATGTATTTTTTTATAATAAGATAAATACTATATATTTTTTTTAATGGAAATATTTCACATGATACAAAACAAGACAAAGCTAGGTCATGCCTTAGAGCATGATGAAAGATAACATATCAAGATGTTCATCGTTTCTATTATTTTCTACCCATCCATCTTTCTTTCTCTGTCTTTCTTTTTCTTTCCTTATGAACTTCCTTATTTTTCCTTAGGTATACCTGTATATGTTTTTCTTTATATTAATTTCTATTTATCATTATGTATATCTTTGTTAATACTTTTTATATTTTTCTTTATGTAATTCTTAGTCATTTTTTATGTATTTCTTTTTTCCTCTTGATTTTTTTGTTTATATTTCTTCTCTCTTTCCGAATGTATTTCCTTATTTTTTCTGAGGTATTTCTTTGTTTTTCTTTGGATTGTTTTCATTTTCTATGGTCTAATGGCTGTAAATCTTCCAGCGATCACCTGCTAGTCTTTCAAGTTGGCTTCAATTGGAGATTAAAGAGATGCTCGGTTGTTAATTGTTACTAAAAGTGGTTTTCTTGCAATGACAAAGCTGCTTCACCATGACAGGCGCCCTCATCTCAGTGGCAGAATGCAAACAATTCTCAGCAATAAGATTAGTTAGAATCTTAGTCTTCTTGCAGCTATAGTTATCATAATTATGGTAATGAATTCTTCATTCTTATTTTCTGCTTTTTTCCGCATGTCATATTCCAAATATCAGTCTTATCCTTAACACAATTGCAACCCTCATTCTAACACTGACCTGGAGATGCAAACCTCTTGACACAAAAAACAGACTGAATAGCCTAAACAAATCAGAATTGGGAGAGAAAAATCAGATTTTCACGAAAACTCGATACTACAACTGGCCCGTTGGCCCTGGGCCAATCAAATTTCAGAAAAATGTTTTACTGGTAAGAACGGTCAAGTAAAATGTTTGCTCTGTCATTAACATCTAACAAGAAAATGGTAAAGCAGGGTTTTGTTGGTGTTGCGAAGGTTTACTTGTACATGTTTCTATGCGATTCCACAGTTTTTTTATGGGTTTGTATGGGTGTTTTAATCTTCTTCTTTTTCTTTTTTTTGAAAGATGAAGAATGTATCTAAAGAGGTAATATTGTATTATTGTATTTCACTCTTATTATCGTACTAAATACCATAAAATCGTACTGGTTGGCATCTCTGCTAACAACCTAAACCCAACTGCATTCCTCATTTTAACACTAACCCTATTAAACCTAAAACCGAATAGCAATCAATACTTTGGGCAGCTCGCTATCAAAGTATATTCTGGCTCCTCCTTGCATATCAGGCGCTTCAACAAATAAAATCATACTTTTTATAAATGTCCAAGCGAGCAAATAAAGAAGACATTTAATTGTCTTTAAAAATGTTTTTCGTCACTAAAAGGATATAACAGTGTTTAAAGACATCGTTTAACAATGCTCTTCTAAGGCCCCCCCCCCCCCATGATCTTGGCAGTAAACTTATTTGCATATTTATGGTAATTTATGTAAATAAGGTAATACAATAGGCCATTTTCGTAATGAAACCACATTTAATGCATAATTATTTCATTCACCTAATAGGAATAATAGTATTTCAATAGTCAGAATGCAACTGCATATATTCAGTGTTGCTACAATGTAGGTAGGTCAAGCCATAATGTTTGTCCAACCTGGCAACAAGTAATGTATGCAGTTCGGATTCCGTCTTTTGAAATACTATTATTCTTATCAGGTGAATGAAATAATCTGTATTGAGGCACTTCACAAAGACTTATGCATTAAACTTGGTTACATTACGAAAATGGCCTATTCACATTTTTACCCATAAATCATATATTCTTCATATTTAAACATTAGTTTTCACTACATATATTTTTCAGACCATTCGGGATAATAATACCAAAACAAATTGGAAGAGCCAGGTTATTCCTTATGTTATCTATTGATTTGATAATGTCTTATGTATTTTTATTTTTTTTAATTCATGTATTTTTTTTTATTTTTTATAATTTTAATTCTAACTATAATTCCACTATTTTGAACCCTAAAATAAACACTTGAACTTTAAACAAAGCCAAATAATCAATGTTTTATCTCTTTTTTGGAGAAATGACATTTCCATATGTTTTATACACAAATCACAAAAATGAGCAATTTTTCGGGCTGACATGCAAAGACAAAAGGTCATGTGACTTTGTAACGGTAGGTCGTATTTGTAAGAGGTGTAGCACCATCTCTTGTAATAATAATAATAACAATAATACATTTATCGAGCGCAGAAACTATCCGACATCAAGTATGAGTTGGGCATATCCTTAAGTTGATAGGGCATACATTTGTTTGTTAAAGTTAATATTTTGGAAGTGATTTAGATAATAGTTTTACTAAGTAAGGTCTTAAATTTGAAAAGTAACACATGTTAATTTAAGTACATTAATAGGTTGCATGTTAATTTTACATGATTAAAGTTGTGTAACGATTGGAAGTTGTAATTGGGTTTGGGTGTTATATTGGAGTTAAGCTTAATATAAGAAAAATAAGGCTTTGTTAGGTTAAAGGGGGTATAGAAATTTATTAGGAGATTCATGTGAAATATTAGAAGATGTATTATGTTCGCCATGAGCTTTATAAAAAAAAAAGGGAATATGTAAGAGGTGTAGCGCCACCTCTTGTCTGTTGTTATATAGTCAATAAACGTAACAGTTACGAGTTAGAAGCAGTGTCCTAAGTATGATGATTTGAACACCATAGCCAGAGCTGATAAAGAACTGAGGCATTATTAGGATCCCAAGACTATCCAACAATGCTATACCTTTTGCGTCAACCTAATCCCACATTCATAAATAGAAGATTCATTTCCATCACGCCAATTAGTTCCATACAAATTTGCGAGCGAGCGACCCCCGAAAAAGAAGGAATTTTCAGTATGGTATAAATGTTAATTTGTAAACAAAACACATAAGATAAGAAATGATTATATGTATGTGAGCACCTTGCTGGTAAATACATGAATAACAAATATATATATATATATATTCCGTCCTCTCGAATCACGAATATGAGGATATTCGGGCATCTCGGTGTCAAGAACCATCCTGTTTCTAACTGTTCCGAAAGAGTAAAGCGAAAGAGCGTGGTAAAAAAGTCATTATGATATGCAAAAATGTAAGGTATATTCAGGCACCTCGCTATCAAAGTATATTATGTCGCCTCCTTGCCTAATTATGTGGGTAATCAGGCACTTCAGTGACTAAAATCATAATATTTCTACATGTTGCGAGCGAGGAAGGAAAAAAAATAGTCACCAGTTTGACATCTTGTGTCCGTCCAGCCAGAATTACAGGTACAACGGAATGCATTCTGAAGATTGTTACAGGCTCCATTAAGACACGGGTTAGACGAGCACTCGTTTACGTCTGCATAGAAGGAAACGTCAATAACAAGTCAGTCTAGTTATATGACAGTGTAGAGAATGAATAAATGCAACTGATAATTTCGTGGATCTATTAACACATTATCTGCTCAGACTTATGTTACATTTATTATAATGAATATAAGGAATACTTTTCATTGATTCCAGTGTGTGCAGCGCTTTGTAACTGCAAGGAAAAGGCGTTATATCAAATATAATGCTCGATTAGGTCGGTACCCGGGCGCCTAGCGTATTTTGGTGCCCCGCCGATCACCGGCCGGCCGCCGGGCAATTTCTTTAAAATCAGCCGATGGCCGGTGGGAGACCGCTCAGGAATCGGTAGGTCATCAGTCGGTCACTGCTAGGACGCCGCCTGGATTTCGCCCAGTTTTGACCTAAAATCGGCCGGCGACCGACGGAAAATCGACAGGGCACCGCCCAGGCATCGCTGGGGCTCTACAGCGCCTGCTCGAATTCTTCACAAAAAACAAAATTTCTGCGGCGACTGAGCAGGCTACAAATCGGTCGGTCGCTGCTATGAGTTGTGACCATAGCTTAAAACACAACTGCAAACGGCGCGGTACCGCGCCTACACAATTCCACTAACCGTTAGCCTAAAACCCATGAGCCCTCCGCGGTGCCCTGAATGCTCATCTGACCGTAAATAAATGCCTAAAACCCATGAGCTTCATGGGGCACAGCCCCCTTGACCCCACGCAAATTAGTGACCTGCCATGCAGTATCACAAATAAGGTATCAAAATATGCCCATCTGACCCTAATTAAATGCCTACAACCAATGAGTTTCCAGGGGCTCCGTCCCTTGACCCCGTTAGGGCTTTGCCCCTGGACCACACGCCAATTTTCGCTCCATTCGCTTCGCTTGCTACTCTCTATCAGATCGTAAATACCTTAGCCCCACCCCCTACTTTGAAAAACGTTCCGCGGGGTCGGCATGTAACATGTAAAGTGGCCATGCCAGATTTTGTTTTACCCCCCCCCCCCCCCCCCCCAAAAAAAAAAAAAAAAAAAAAGTTTTTGCTCATTACGCCACTGCCTACACCTAAATCTCAACTGCAACTCTCAGCCTAACACTAACCCGAATCCTAACCCTAAACCCAAAACCCAACTGCAACCCTCAGCATAATTTTAACCCCAATCCTTACCCTAAACAAAACAATTATTTTTAAAAAATATGCTTTTCAAAACGTATTTATTTGTAGGGAAATTACCTGACCCAGAGTAAACCTATTCCTTGTGTGTCAACTACGCGAAAAGCAAAAATTGTTCACAAGAAATATTTCAGCTGTCAGTAGGGAATTTTATGCCTGCAGTTTTGACCAATCAGAGGCCTAGAATCTTCACATGCGGAATATTAATAATACACATTCTATCTTTGAACCTAAGCATTATCTACGACAAAATCGATTGAATAGGGCTTTCATAAGATTCTACTTATGTCAATGTATGTGAAACTTCCGACATCCTATGATTACAAAGTGAAAAATAGAAATACATATAAATATTTGTATGGAAACCGAACAATGTTACCAACATTAAATCACTATTTCATTGACAGGTAGTAACATGTATGAACAAAAGACATTAGACATATATCTACATCGTAATTGGTAGCGATGAAACATTTGCGGCAATATAGATTTACCATACTGGACAGTATTACAGATTTAATAGAGGTGTCGTGGTATAATGCAGTGTTTTTCAACCTTTTTAATAGTCACGGCCAGAGGCGGTTCTCCCGGGGGCAGGGGGCACAGTGCCCCCCCCCCCCCCCACTTTTTCAGATACCCCAAAAGTGCCCCTTTTTACATAGGAAAGTGCCCCTTTTATTTTGTAAGAAGTGCCCCTTTTACATAGGAAAAGTGCCCCTTTTACTTTGACAAGTGCCCCTATTACTAAATAACAGTGCCCCTTACCCCCTTTTCACCTTTGACGAGTGCCCTTTTTATTTTTGACACGTGCCCCTTTTCCTTCGACATGTTCCCATTTTCCTTTGCAATAAGTGTCCATTTTCCATTCTCATAAATCTTGAAATTATCTTTAATAAGTGCCCTTTTTGATCTCTAGTAAGTGCCTCTTTTCAGGTACGAGAAGTGCCCCTTTTCACTTTTGATAAGTGCCCCCTTCACCTCTGATAATTGCCCTATTCAAAACTGAGAGGTGCTCCTTTACTTTGACAACTGCCCCTTTTTTCCTTTGTAAGAAGTGCCCCTTCTCCTTTTAATAACTACCCCTTTTTTAAACTCGGATGAGCACACCTTTAATTTTAACATGTGCCCCTTTTATTTTCTAATAAGTGCCCCTTTTCCTTATGATAAGTGCCCCCATTAAAAAGAGAGAGCTCCTTCCTCTTCTCATAACTACCGCTTTCTCTTTCTAATAAGTGCCCCTTTTCCTTATGATAAGTGCCCCCATTAAAAATAAAAAGCTCCCTCCCCTTCTCATAACGGCCCTTTTTTAAAATTTGAACGGTGCCCCCTTTTCATTCAACAAATGCACATTTTCCTTTAATATAAGTGCCCCTTTTACATTTTCATAAGTGCCCCTTTTCATATCTGGTCAGTGCCTCTTTTCACCTCTGATAATTCCCATTTTAATAATGATACGTGGCCCTTTTCCTTTCTAATAAGGGACCTGCCCCCTTTTCACCTCTTAAAAATGCCCCTATCAAAATCTGATGGGTGCCCTTTTTCCGTCAACAAATGCCTATTTCCCATTTTCGTAAACGCCTCTTTTTCATCAGGTGAGTGCCTCTTTTCAGGTGAAAAAAATGCCTCATGTTCACCTCTTATAATTATCCTTTGTACTTTGACACGTGCTCCTTTTCTTTTCTAAGTGTCCTATCCCTTTCGATAATTGTCCCCTTTTCATGAAATCATTAAACGTGTCCCTTATTTAAAGCAATTAAGAGCAATTTCCCCCAAAGTTTGCTCGATGCGCTCGCTCGCATTTAAAGATGATATAATTATGTTAGTTATCAAAGGTCTTTTCAGTCTTCCGTTATGAGAATGTGCTTATAACCCCATCACGAATGGCTTTTTTTCCTCTTTATAAGATGTAATTTTTCGCACTGCGACCTCGCAGATCTTTAAAAATTTTCTCGCTCGCTTCGCTCGCTCGTAAATGCATATTCAGACATCCCACCCAACTGTAAAGTATGATGCTTAAGCGATATCTTGTATGATGTATGAAGAGAAACAAATATTGAAATCATCCCTGATAATGTAATCACAATGCAGGGGTATGTACCAATGTCTAAAAAAAAATGTATATTTTAGCTTTGAGATTTCCCACTGTAGGTGCCCTTTTTTCTTCAGAAAGTGCCCTTTTTTGTTGGTGCTCCCCCCCCCCACTTTGGAAGTCGCTCGACCGCCCCTGGTCACGGCGCCCTTTCAAGAGATAACAACTTTTGCCTCACCCTAATCCCACATTCATAAACAGAAAATTCATTTCCATCACTGCGGTACACGCCAAGTGCCATACAAATTTGCGAGCGAGTGACCTCCCAAAAAGAAGAAATTGTCAGTATGGTATAAATGTTAATTTGTAAACAAAACACATTAGATAATAAATGATTATATGTATGTAAGCACCTTGCTGGTAAATACATGAATAACAAAATATTCCGTCCTCTCGAATCACGAATATGAGGATATTCGGGCATCTCGTTGTCAAAAACCGTCCTGTTTCTAATTGTTCCGAAAGATTGAGGCGAAAGAGCGTGGTAAAAAAGTCATTATGATATGAAAAAAAAATGTATGGTATATTCAGAAACCTCGCTATCAAAGTATATTCTGTCGCCTCCTTGCCTAATTATATGGGTAATCAGGCACTTCAATGACTAAAATCATAATATTTCTACATGTTGCGAACGAGGAAGGAAAAAAATAGTCACCAGTTTGACATCTTGTTCCCCTCCAGCCAGAATTACAGCTACAACTGTATGCATTCTGAAGATTGTTACAACGCCCTCCATTAAGACACGGGTTAGACGAGCACTCGTTCACGTCTGCATAGAAGGAAACGTCAATAACAAGTCAGTCTAGTTATATGACAGTGTAGAGAATGAATAAATGCAACTGATAATTTCGAGGATCTTTTAACACATTATCTGCTCAACTTATGTTACATTTATTATAATGAATATAAGGAATACTTTTCATTGATTTCAGTGTATGCAGCGCTTTGTAACTGCATTCGTTAACATCTTGGGGGAAAGGGAATATAGATGAAAACAAAAAAAATATTGATGCATAAAGAAAACGTGTGTTTGTCCCTCAAAAGTATTTTTTTAAGAAGAAAAAAAGGAGAAAAACCTGAATTACAACTATATCATAGCAAATATGTTCGATAACTTCGTAATATTGATATTATATATGTCATTGATTTCCTTCAGATACGAATATATAAGGTGCGTTTCATGTAGTTTATTGTCATACATTATGGTGTATTGAAATAGGCCAATCTTGACTAGCTATTGCTTTTTGTCGGCTCCATTTACCAAGTGTCATGCTGACTTACAGGTTTGGGTTTTAAAAATGTAATAAAATGAGTAAGAGGAAACTTCTTCTATTTTGAGTACATACCTCTTTACAGAGTAGTATCGTACTATACTGGGGTGTGTGCAGGTGGACCATCACACCGGGGTTTCCCCCTACTCCTATACAAATAGTGCAGTGGGTTCTTAACGTACAAAGGTAGCGACTTTTCTCTACAGGAGGCCTCAATTGAACGTCCTATCCGAGGAAATAGGGATGCATTTCTATAGGTATGAGAGGACTTCACAGGATGTCGAAGTCGATTGTTATAAGTTAGTCCATCATGTGTATCGACAACAACCCAAATTCCCTTGAACATGAAGCCTTATTTTTTCGTAATTTTTCGTCTTTTTCATCGTAGTAATAAGGCAATTTAATTAGAAGTTTTAGTTGTAGTAGTAATGATAATGATAATTATAATTATAATAATAATGATAATAATAATAATAATAATAATAATAATAATAATAATAATAATAATAATAATACTAATAATAATAATAAAGTTGAAGAAGAGAAGAAGAAGGGGAAGAAGAAGAAGAGGAGGACGGAGTAGAAGAAGGAGGGAAAGAAGAAGAAGCAGAAGAACAACAACAAAAGAAGAGGAAGAAGAATAGTGGATAAATGCACAATAACAATAAACAAGGGTTCGATTGCGCTTATTATAGTCATTCATAAAAGGGCTCGGTTCATCCAGTTTATCTTATGCACCGCCCTTTCGATATACAACATGATTACAGTAGTCTCAATGTAACTTACCTATACAAGGGGGGCCTACGAACCCCGGACAACAGTTAGTCACAGACCTATCGGCCGTACGATAACGTGTTCTACAAGAAACCAGTCAAAAGAAGTTCATTTTAATTGAACATCATTAACTTGACAATCCATTATTCACATGTAAATAAGATAATTGATATTTTTGTGTGGAAAACAGTAGGGCATGTTAAAAAATCTTTGCCTTCGGGTCGTAAAATTTGTTGTTGTTTAATAACAAACCATTTCATTCAATTCAATTATGTTGTACATTGCATGCCCCAAAATGGAGTTAAAGCAGTCAGTGTTTGGGTCATAGAAAAAAAACCGAACAAACAAAATGTTGACATGAAACAACATAATGTGGGATGGGTCTAGGTGGACGTTGGTGGACAATGGATCCACCCCCTAACAAAATAAGAAAGTCCGGGGAAAGCGCTATACTGTGTTGAAATAGAGATAGTTAGAGAGGGTAGAGGGAAAAGGGGGGGGGGGAGAAAGAGAAGTAATGGAAAATGAGTGAGTTAAAGTCTAGTAATTATACAGAACTGAAGAGAGAGAGTGTGTGTATGTGTGTGTATGTGTATGTGTGTGTGTATGTGCGTGTGCGTGTGCGTGTGTGCGTGTGTGTGTGTGTGTGTGTGCGTTGGTAGTTGGTTATATACTGAAGCACCCCCCCCCCCCCAAAAAAAAAAAAAAAAAAAAAGTGTTTATTGTGTATGTGTTTTCGGTCTGGGGAGATTCGTCTCGTGCAGAGTGAATAGACATCTGACACATGAATATGGCATTGATAATTTCTCTGTTGCAAGATTGTAAGATGTAAATCTTCAAACATCATAACGTACACCTGCCTGTTCTGACTTCTGCGCATTTGTAAATATTTATACTTGAGCAAGTGATTGAAGAAATGAAAACTAGAACGAGCTGAATTACGAGAGATAAAGGACGGCTAAGAAATGTCGAAAAGAAGCTACTACTAGCACTATCACCACTACCACTACAAATGTTTTTTTTTATATTGGAAATTTTAGAAGTATATCAGGACCAGCGATTTTCTAGAGAATTAACAGAAAACTATAAGTAAATAACAATAAACAATAACAGTAGGTAACTTGCCTGTATCTTGTACAACGTTGCAAGTTTAAGAAGCCGCAACGGGTTGTGTACCTCTGACTGTAGGATTGACTGTAAGACATAGTAGTTGCATAGGAACTGCATCGAATAATTTAAAATAGGAAATAATCACTTAACTGTAATTGTTATGATTTTTGTTGTTGTTAAAATAATATATACAAAGCTGCTCTATTTGTCACAATGAACCTTATCCTTCCCCATATGAATATATATATATATATGCCTTTAGCTCAACTTTTACTTTATTTATCTTTTTTTTTACAAAATGCTTTCTGTGATTTTAAAACAATCTTCTGAAGAAATTCGTAAGTTAGTCATTACCAGAAGTAAAAATGTACTTTTATCTGTATTACTCACACAACAGAATTTGATAACACTACCATGACATCATAATCATATATTTGTATCCCTATGGACCCCCCCCCCCCCCCACACTTGTTGTTGAATTAAACTGGAACTTATTTTGTTATAGAAGCTGTGAGGGATATGTGATTTGTTTTTGCTTTTTCATTGTGATATTGTCGGGCATAACTTTGCGTTCTCAGAGAATGTTACTGAAATTTACAACAATGACAAATATAACATTTTAAAATAAATGTCAAGCTGTGTTTTATTGATGAAAAAAAAAATCGATGGATTAGATAAGTACACAATCATAACTATTCGGTGGTAAGTGCTTTAAAAGCACCGTTATTATTATTATTATTATTTTGAGTACTTACGAGTCCCCTGACGAGCATGAACCGTGAATAGGTGTGACCAGTGATGCCATAGTAACCAACACCACCAGCGGTGGAAGAAGGCCCAAAGCAACCATGGCCATTATCATCGAAGTAGCATGTGAACTAGAAATGAAAGTAATCGACATGAACAATCATCAGTGAACTAAAACCAGTTTTGTATTACTTTCTACGGTTACTGGATGAGTCATAATCTCAACAAAAAATAGGGAGAGAGAGGAATTGAAAAGAATACACTGTTTTTTATTATATTGTTTTTATTAATTTTTTCTTCATCCTGAGGGCTCTGCAATTGTTTTCAAGTAGCCTACTTATGGGTTGAGAGGGAACATGTGGGCAATCACAATGCCCAAGGATGTAAGCAGTAGCCCTGTACTGACTAGATAATTAACGAGCCTTTTGTATTAGAGTCAAGAGTAGTCCTCACCAATATACCCCACTGCTCTATAATGTAATTTGGATATACAGAAGCTGATAAATAACTAATTGACGTTTGAAATGTTTTTGTTTTAATGTTCCCAACTTATGCGCAGAAGATTTAGCATAGAGGGAGAGACGAGTAAATATTCTCATGATTAACGACGATTTATATACAGGTTTCACTGTATATTTTAACACTTTTGTCAATCAATTTCATACTTTTTCATTCAATTACGTCAACAAATCCTTAACCTTGCACATCTTATAGTCAATTTCGTATCTGGTGATTCATTTTTTGTTAAATTTGTACAATCAATTTTATAATTTCGCATCCAATCTCGTCAAAGTCAAATCAACAATGCCTCGCAGTCAAAATGCTGAATTGTGCATGTTTACATATAATAATATACATGAGCTCCATTACATAACATCATATTTCATTTGTTACAATCATCCAAACAATATTGGTAAACATAACTCATGTGTAGCTCAATAAAATCAATCACTATATACTATTTACATTTTATTAAAATTCACAATAGCAATAACAATTATCGATTAAAAACAATACAATATAAACTAATCAAAAAGCTAAACCAAGAAGTTAGCAGCTGGTAACTTCTTGGTCGAACACAAATTCCTTGCCTCTTTCATCTTATGGCTACGCATGGAACTGATTTACTTATTCTAGTCTTGTTCAGACGGAGGCAAGTTACCCTGGGGTGAAGGTCGTTTGAACAGCTAGTCGGGGTAAATATGGTGAAGTATGTCTAACGGTTGGAGTAGTGACCGTCTGAACGATGATCGTGTTAGCTACACCTACCTTTCCCCCGACCTATTTACTCCTGGAATTTCCAGGAGTAACTTGCTAACCCCCCCCCCCTCCCCCCCCCCCCCCCCCCCCCCCACTCCGAGAACGGACGGACCCCATGCGTGTTACCAAAATGTCCTTTTCGTAACAAAAGAAAAAGGTCGACCCGTATTGACTTTACACACCGGACTTTTGCTGAAAAGGGGGGGGGGGGTCGCTTGGAACACGCGTATGCGTACCCTAAATAACACTGAGTGGGGGGGGGGGGGGCGGGCTAACACGACTAGAGGGTAGCGTAAGTTGGCCGTGTGGATGCCCTCACTTACACCAGGAGTATTTATGACCTTTCACGAGCCATTTATACACAGAGTTTGGTCAACTTGGTTTCACTGGGTCTCTTGTGTTGTGCTTGCCCAACAAAGCAGTAGTCGCCATACTGTGTCCACCCCGAACCGGGTTGGCCAAACACTGTGTATAGATGTCTCTGCGTAAGTTACGCTGGTCAGTGGAAGGTCATGTGAACTTAAAGTAGATATTCATTGATTTAAAAAACTAACTTTATTTCATTATTGCAAAGTTGAAACTTTGATTCGACAAGGTTATCACAATTCAATGCTTGGAAACATTCGAAGTAATGATTATTATAAATTATAAAACGCTTAAATACAGCCCCGGCATAGCACCTGAATAGCTCTCCGAACGCTGATGAGATGTGTGAGATCACAGTATGGACATGACTTGCACAAGCAGACGATGTCCCATGACATCTCACACATTTTCAGTGCCTGTGTTTTCATCTTATCTCGAGTTTTTTCTCTTACTTCACTACTGTCAGGCTAAATGTATAATCTATTGCCTCACTCTAACCCCCGCGCATGGTTTTATTTTGATGACAAATGCAGCGATACAAAAATAAAGGAATCTGTCGCTTGTAAACAATATAAGACGCCATTGAATATTCAGCTGCACACACCGCGGTATGTTCGGCGTTTCAAGAGGGAACAAATGCCGTCCTTAATATCATTCCGGGGGTTTTCAATTCGAAAGTCTGGTTTCTTTGATTGTTAATTAACCCCTATCCTGTGTGTTTACAAGCAAAAGATTTTAGTTATCGGAATCGGGTCATATCCCCTTTTGAATGGTTTGACATGCCATCACATTTATATACACTAATAAACTCATTATAATTTGACAACTAAAAACTTTGCAATTATGTTCATTCTTTATGGAGTGTTGCTTGTGCATTTTCGAGAAAGTCGATTTTTGCACTCTCGCAAACAATGCCTCATGTTCATTCAAGCGTGAATACCTACCACACGAAAAAGATACCAAATGATTTGGGATAAAACACTCTTCCATAAAATGTATATCAATTTACTGTTCATAGACGATTGTTTAAATAATTAGCAATTTTCTAGGTGTAAACTTTTTTTTTGACTCACACGGTATAACTAACAAAACAAAAAAGGCATATATGTATATTCATACTTATTACAAAACAATCTTGCAGACAGACTCAGCCATACTCACTCACTCACACACAATGCAATGCACTATAAAGGCAGAGAGAGAGAGAGAGACAGAGAGTAGGATATTAACAAGAAAAAGGAAGAAGAGGAAGCACATGAAAAATGCGAAACATGAGATTAAAACTTATAGTCCTTCCCAGTTATACAAATTAATAAATAGTTCCCTATTGCACAAAACTTTGAATCTAGACAAAGTTGAACTTGATCTTATTTCCTCGTTTTCCCACATTCCCACATTTATAAATGATTTCAGTGCATGGGTTGTAAGTACAGGGGGTTTGTGTAATGACATTTGTGTTATGTGAATGAACAGATGAATTACTTATAAAATGTGCGGAAAATTACCAGTATGGAAATGATAGGTTGAAATAATCTAGATTAGCTGATCCTTTGTGCCCATTAAGGGCAACTTCAGGGCTCATGTGATCTTCTGTTATGCCTATACCGTACTTCATTGTAATGTTCATAGTGGGTTTTCTCCACCAAATGAATAATATTATTGAAATGCCTAAAAACAATGGCCAAAGTCTAATATCATGCTTAGTTTTTGAGTTGCCTGCCACTATACCACACACACTAAGCACACGTTGTTTATTCGAAAGAGTTTATCATCATACGCAATATTTCAGAGTGTGTTTTTTGTCTTGTAGCGGTCACCCCTAAATTATATTAATCCCCGAAAAAAAAGTAAATTATAATCAGGTGGCACAGTACCTTAAACTATTACTCCACTCCAGGTTTAGAACTTCTGTCCGTTCTAGAGGTGTGTGATGCTCTTGAGGATCTAAATGGGTAGCTTGCTACGTATACTTTGACAAATTTGTTGTAACTAGTCGTGCGCATGCTCTATGCCTTAAGCTTGGAGCTGACTTCGTATCACTTGCGCGTCTTCGGGTTACACGAAATTTTGTGAATAATCAAGCGGTACTTCCCGAACGACCGTGTTTAATGTTTGTGAAAACCCCTGTCACTCCATGATTCACATTCAATGTACAGTATACTTCCTCGTTTACTAGCTTGGCCGGGGCACCGGATATCTTGTTATTCGAGTTTTGTATACCACTGCATACATACCACAATATCAATCAGTACGTTTAGAACCATTAAAGGTACTATGTCCCATTTGCAGGCCCAAAAAATGAAAAGATTAGATTCCAACGGCATTTGAAAGATAATACTAATTTAGACCCCCCCCCCCAAAAAAAAGGGGGGGGCTTGAAAATGTCTTTAAGTGGGAAAATAACGACTATTGGTTGTTGAATCGACTTAAAGGCCCGGTCACACAGAGAGGACGCATGGGGAACGCACGGCCAGCGCATGGGAAATTTGCAATTTTGGCCAGTGCGTTGTCGTGCGCCCAACTTTTGTCGAAGCTCCAGCGAGCTGACACCAAATGCATAGCGTGTTGCTAGCGCGCTGAGCGAATACAGAGCGCATACAGTGCGCATACAGACCGTACACAGAGCGCACATGATAACAACTTCCACGAATGCACAACGTGTTGCTAGCGCGCTGGACGAATGGTCCACGCATGCACCGCCTTAAAGTGACCGCGCCTTAAAGGCCCGGTCACACAGAGGGGACGCATGGGGGACGCACGGCCAGCGCATTGGAAATTTGCAATTTTGGCCAGTGCGTTGTCGTTCGCTAGGCGTGCGTCATCATTCGTTACTCGTGCGTCGAGCACTCTGGACCAACGCTGGACCAGCGCTATGCATTCGTCGTCATTCGCTGCATGTGTGCGTCGGAATTTTTTAAGCATGCTCAAAAGTGTGCGCAGAGCTCGACGCATGAATGTACACGCCAAAGGCACACCAGACATGCGTGGAGCGCGCTAGACCAGCGCCAGACATTCGTGGAGCGCGCTAGACCAGCGCCAGACATACGCGGAGCACACGCCCTGTATACGCACAGCGCGCTAGCTACACGCCGTGCATTTTGTGTCAGCTCGCTAGCTTTTCCAAAATTATGACAAAAGTTAGGCACACGGCCTTTTCCGATTTCCAATGCGCTGGCCGTGCGTCGTAGAACGCGGTGCATGCGTGGACCATTCGTCCAGCGCGCTAGCAACACGCTGTGCATTCGTGGAAGTTGTTATCATGTGCGCTCTGTGTACGGTCTGTATGCGCACTGTATGCGCCCTGTATGCGCCCTGTATGCGCTCAGCGCGCTAGCAACACGCTATGCATTTGGTGTCGGCTCGCTGTAGCTTCGACAAAAGTTGGGCGCACGACAACGCACTGGCCAAAATTGCAAATTTTCAATGCGCTGGCCGTGCGTTCCCCATGCGTCCCCTCTGTGTGACCGGGCCATAAGAGCAACAGAGCCAGTAAGTAATAGTTTGATTTTCAGACCATTGTACCGACTGGTCGTACGTTTTATGCTGCGCAAACATTCAATCAGTTTAATGTTGGCCATTACAAGAAGTGGGTTATTGATGTAGACAAATGCTCATGTACCCTTTACAGCTCATTAATTTATGTATGCTATTACCAAAGAAGGAAATAAGCCAGTCAGTCAGTCAATAGTGTATGATAGTGAAGTCTAGCAAGTAAACGGGTCTCCTTGCATAATTTGAATATAAGGACACTGCTAACGTTTAAATTTCACAGATAAGACGTACATGACATATACCGTACATGTACTCATAATTCCTGCAAAGTTCTACAGAATTTGATGTTGGCTGCAAAAGGGACATAGTACCTTTAAAGAGACTTATTTTAGTAAGAGAAGGGTGTGAAAAAAAGTATTCAATCAAAATACAGTTTCTTCATTATTACGCACTTCGTCAAATATTTAAATGCAAATACAAGTCCCAATTGGAAAGTTGTAATATGGAAGTAATATATATATTTCATGCTTGTTGAAAGATGAAAAAAGGATGTAGACATAAGAGAAAAGGACGATCATTTGAATATATTATGTAATAGATGGCATGCAGATGGTATTTTATTCGATAATAAATATATGCAATATTATTTTAGGGTTATGTTTCGCTGTACAATGCATACAACAGTTCGGTACTTTTTGTACAGACTTTTAAATAGGATACTATATTTGAATAAAGATCTTGTGAAAAATATAAAAAAATTCTAAATAAGAACTGTTCCCTTTGTGGAAGAGAAGAAGAAAATGCAGGTGCACGTATTTTTACTCATGTAACGTGACCAAATTGATTTGGAGTCGTTTGACTGACTGGTAAAACATTGTAACACGCTGTAGAATAAAAGTGTCTTCAATACGTGTTTTGATTGGTTTCACTGAGAAACGAAATGATGCTTTAAACTGTGTAATAATATGGACTAAACAACAATTATATTTTTGTTCGAATACAAAAATCTAAACCGTCCTTCCAGACAATAAAACAACATATCAGGAATAGTTAAATAAATGCGAGGCAGGTTAGTATAATTGCTAACAAAACTGACAAATTTGATAACAAATGGTTAAATTTTGAGAGGATTTTGATAGTATTATTTAATTAAGTTTCCCAAATTATTTTCAGTCACGATGATGCATTGTTTTTTGAAAAATATAAGTGTATGATTTTATATATATGTGTGTGTGAATATATATGTGAAGGTAAACCATGCGATAATAATAATTGAGAATTCAAATATAAAGATATAACAAGGTGAAAGCATGCAAGCAAGACAATTACACATTGAAAAAACAAAAATACGAAAGGGTGAATTATGCATGCGATGCAATTTAACGTCGAGTACATGCATGCACGACAATTCAACATCGAGTACGTTCAGCTTGATTAAGAATTTTAAAAAAAGAAAAAGAAAAGGTGAAAGCATGCAAGAGAATTCAACAACGAGTACGTTCGGCTTAAATGAGAATCAAAAAAAGAAAAAGAAAGAGTGAATGCATGCAAGACAATTCAACATCGAGTAAGTTCAGCTTGATTAAGAATTTAAAAAAATAAAAATAAAAGGTTAAAGCGTACAAGAGAATTCAACAACGAGTACGTTCGGCTTAATTAAGAATATAAATTTTAGAAAACAAGAAAGGGTGAGAGCATGCAAAACGGTTTCACATAGTCTCAGAGTAGTTTTAACTGAGAAATTACATAGGAAATGATGAAAGCATGTTAGAGAATTTAACATTAAACAGCGTAATTTGATAATTTGAGAGGGTCGTTATTCATAATACGAAATGAGGGTCGTTATTCTTAAAACGAGGTGAGAGTCGCTAATCATAATACGAAATGAGGGTCGCTATTCATAATAAGGGTAGAGGGTCGCTATCAGGCGCGTACACAGGGGGTGTATGGGGGGGGTTAACCCCCCCATTGGTATTTTTATGTGTGTAAACCCCCCCCCCCCCCGCTTATTCAGTGGCTGGCTGAGTCGTTGCGAAATTTTCGGCCTGATTTATAAATGTTAACCCCCCCCCCCCCTCCCCCTTGAAAAAATCCTATACGCGCCTGGTCGCTATTCATAATACGAAACGAAGGGCCGCTATTCATAAAACGAGAAGAGGGTGCTGTTCATAAAAATTAAATAGGCCTAAGCAATAAACAAAATGCTAAGAGTAATAACAAAGGGAAATATTGGATGGGGGACACTTGTTTGACATGCCCGAGTAACAACATGGATGTTGTTTGCATTGATGACTCTCGGTGTAGAATTCCAAGTCATGATACAAACCCTATCCATGTTATGCAGGTGAAGAGAGGTATATTGGTAAAGTTTCTTGCCTCTCAGTTGAGAGGTCCCCGGTTCACACATTTTGGGGTCTAAAATTACCTTCATAACAATGTTAGGTCCTAAAAGGGCACTAGAGATGTCATAAATAAGAATAAGAGCAATAACCATGCACACTGAAGGCATTTGCGGTCTGAAACAAGAACTCAAACTAGTTGAGTTCTTGTTTCAGACCGCAAATGGGGAAATTACTGTCGAACAACTACCTCATGTATAGTACAGGAAATAAGATCCTTTATTAGACCCACCTAATGATCATTGGCTCTTATGATTCGGTTCTGTTAAATAAGTTTTTTGAATGAGGAAGGCCCCTCTTAATACAAGGCCCCTAAGCCAGTTCGTATATAAAATCTGCGCATCGCCAGAATACAGTTCATTTAGAAATACACAGGTAGAAGAATTTTTCTCTGGAATACAAACATAACGGTATTAGTCTTATTCATGAAACCCCTCCATTATTCTGGCATTAGTTGTTCTAAAATGCTCAAAGTGTGATTTCTCCATATTTAAAAGATCTGTGGATAGTTGAAGTTGTTATATGAACCCATTCTATGGAATTCCCTGAGCAATGAAAAATAAAATCTTGTCCCTCATTTGCCACTTTTAAAAAGAAATTAGTCAAAATCTCTTGAGATTTGAAAGATTAAAAAACACAAATTATATTTAATAATTTGACCAAATATGTATCATCTGATAAAAACCTTCAATTGAAAAAATGTTAAGTTCGAGTCTGAATTAATGAACCTATTTAATATACATTTGAAAGTTGGATATTACACTGAACCTGTTTGCCGCAATAAGACATGAAAGTGTGATCATAGAAACTAATTACATTCTAAATTTTTTTTACAAATATTTCCATTGAAACAATTTTTTCTTGAGTTAACAGGGCCTCCTTGTAAAGCAGACCTTGTGGCAATGAATGGAGCTACCATGTGTTTTTTAAAGAAGACTGAATAAATAACACACTTTATGTTGTCATACCACTCACTGAAAAGAAATGATCAGATAATGAGATAGATAAGTCATTTTATGCTATCCCGAATAAATGGATTTCTTGTTACAGGATGCTCAATAATGGAGTGGAAAACACACAGTACTTGGCAATCCTCACAGGTATGAGCAATATTAGTCCATGGGCCAAATATTGAAATGGTACCCACCCCTTTAGACACAGTCTAATGTGCTTGTTTACCCCCCAACGTTGGTGATGGGTCAGGCATAGTGAGGCATAGTGTTTCCTCTTTAAATTTGATTTTTATTTTAAAATCTATATTCTAATGTTTCCCCTTCCCTCTTGATAATATTTCAGCAACGAATACTACAAACATTTGTGTGTAGGAGAAAGAGAAAGATAGAGAAAAGGGGGAAGGGGGGGGGGAGGAAAGGAAAAAAGAAAATATTGCTGTTATTGAATTTAACTGACAAGATTTATTCATGAAAATTCATAATCACAGCTTAAAGCTGAAACACCTTGAATTAAAAGGCCGGCTGTACTAGTTTGGCCGGGAGGGATTAGACCACACAGCGTGGTCAATGACAGGTGGCTATCTCATCAACTCGGCTCTCAATTAACATAAGAAAAAGAGGATCATGGGGGACCAATGGTCACCGATTAGGCATTGTTTTCATAGAGGGAGCAAGTATCTACAAGTAGGAGAATGGTGATTTAAAACTAAAACTGCAACATATAAAATACATGAAAGATATACAATGTAAAATAGGCAAATATGAAATCAAGATATATATATATATATATGCAGTCACCTAGAAGAGGAAGGGGCTCTTTTTAAATGGGGGCACTTATCAGAAAGGAAAAGGGGCACATGTGAAAATATAAGGTGCGCTTATCCAAGTTTAAAAAGGGGGTAGTTATTAAAGGGGGAAGGGGCACTTTTCGCACCTGAAAAGGGACACTTGTATATGAGAGTTGAAGATGGACACTTCTTGCAAAGGAAAATGGGGACTTGTCGAAAAAAAGGGGCACTTGTCAAAATAAAAGGGGCACTTATAAGAGGTGAAAAGGGGAGCTTTTACAAATTAATTGGGGCGCTTGTCAAAGTAAAATGGGCACTTATTCTATGTAAAAAGGGGCACATTTCAGGTATTTGAATAAGTGGGACACCTTGCCCTCTCCTACCCCCCCCCCCCCCCCCCCCTCAGAGAGGTCCGCCTCTGATTGTGGCGCTCTCCCACATAAAGATGGATACCAGAAGCACTGTTTTGCTCGATCTGTTCGCGGAGGAGGAACAGGCCTTGATCCAACAGCATAGCTAGGATTTTATTTAGGGGGCGAATCACTTACAGAGAGCGCGAAACGCTTCCTAGGAAGGCTGGTGCAGGGGTTGGGGAGGCTCCCCTATACGATTCATTGTTATGCAAGATTTCGATTTTTTGTTGTTGCTGAGTTTTTAAAGATATCTTCAAGAACGAGCATCATGCACGTGATACATATATTGACGTTTAAATCTACCAATCAACTTTCATCATAAGATTTCCATAGTTGATAGCGGGAAATATGTTAGTCATTATTTGCCACATCATTATGACTTATTTCTTGTATATTTCTGGTATGACATACTCTTCTCAGCTGCTCAAAGTAGAATCCGTCTGGACCGATCTGTGACATTGAAAAGGTTTTATTAATTGCACTTCGCAGCCAGATGGCTGAATTAAACAATTTTGACGAACAGAACTTTTCTAGAAGGCCGCTTTACAACACAAAATACCCGTAGATTGAGCTCGATAGTGATTTTATGTTATGGCGAGCTTGACGAAAGGCAAACTGCGCTGGGCTAGGCTGATGGCTATATAGAATTCAACGCTAATTTTACAATCACACTTTTAAATAAAGGATAATATATGAAGCATATCTGTTGTATATTCTTTTAAACACAGTTGTCATGTTTCTTTGTCTGCTCCTTTTTCTTCCTACGTCCTCTTACCTTTTTCTCTTCTCTCTCTCTCTCTCTCTTTTGGCCGGGGGGGGGGGGGGGAGGGGAGGGGAGGGGCGCTGTTTAATACACTAAAATTCCTCTAAAGTTCCGGTTGTAAGCTAGCTCTAGGGGGGTCGAGGTCAAAGTAACATGGGGCACTTCCATATTGCACGTACGTACCTAGCTGAAAAGGGCCACTCATCACGCAGAGATGAAAAAGCTCTTGTGAGAATGGAAATGGGACATCTTAATTAAAGGAAATAGCCACACCTATCGGATTTTAATTTGGGCATTATAGATATTATATATATATATATATATATATATCAAAATGAATAAAAAAGTAAAAAAGAAGCATTTTGAAAAGGGGTTGGGGCAAATGGAAAAGGGACACACATATATTAGGAAACGCGGGCACGACCGAGTCATATATATTTTTTTTTTAAGGCAAGATATCAGAGGACTGTGATCAGGGGAATTTCTATTAGGCTCGCACCTGAAAAGAGGCATGCATGCTATCCATTCACCATAGATGAAAAGGGGCGCTTACGGACGTACCAGAGGTGGTAAGTGAAATTTCTCGATCGTACCTGGAAAGGGGCACTTATGAGAATGGAAAAGGGATATTTATTGCAAAAGAAAAGGGGCACGCATGCAGTTGTCGAAGGAAAAGGGGGACCTAATTATCAGATCGATTTTAGGGGCATTCATCAGAGGTGAAAATTAGGGACATTTATGAGAAAGTAAAGCTAGGGATACTATGAGAAAAAAGATGTGCACTTATTAGAAGGGGAAGGGCCGGCAGTTCTTACAAAAGAAAAGGGGCACATTTTCTATGTAAAATTAAGGGGCACTTTAATTCAGGGGGCACCTGAAAAAGTGGAGAGGTACTGTGCCCCCCCCCCCCCCCCCCCCCCCCCTCCCGGAGCGCCGCGGCGCGCCGCCTCTTGCGAAAAATTCATATCGACAATTAATGAACCTTTGACCTAAAGCTACCGTATCGATATTGGGCTAGCTGGCCTAGCTGGTGCGCTGGCCATGGCCTGGCAAAAATTACGTGTCATCTTGATTCTTGCTGCAGATCAGATAGTGTAGGCGAAATGGATCCTTGTTTTCAACCTGCTTCTTCAACTTTTGATCTTTTCCACTCTGTTACCAGTTCGATCGTAATGTAAAGAAGGTAAGTCTTGACATTTCTATGAATTTGAACGAATGTTGCTGCAGTAGGTCTACAACTAAAAGTAAAATTTTTGAGTTATCATTTCAATGTCATTTTAAACTTCGCGTTATTAGTAATGTTGCGGCTGTGCACAAACTGCTGTGTTTGCGTATATATTTGCTATGCAAACGGCGACCCTGTATGGGTGCGCATCGCCAGATTCGAGTTTGCAACCTCATTGAGTAGATCTAGTCTAGATTCTAATTGAAATTCGGCTGCATAAGGCCGATCGTTTACCACTCCTTCATTGCATAAATGATAAGGTCTAAAACTAACTGTAAACGGTATTGTTGTTTTGGTTTTTATGGCATTTTCCATCATGGTTGGATGATTTTTCGCCAGGCAATGTGAATGTGTGAGAGAGAGGTCCTATTAGTAATACTGAGTATTAGGGTGTCTGATCGCGCACCCGATGTTGTGTGCTAAAATACTTTCCATAGAGATTGCACACATCCCTATGCAGTCTACGTGCATTGCGCGACCATGAAAATTGGTTAATGATTTTATGAAAAAAATTGAAATTCAAACCTTTGAGGCTTGTGATCCTGAAGGTGAAACTCAATAAATGAGGTGTCATATGAAAGAGCAGGTTTTTCTCCATATTCCCCAAGGGGGCGCACCCCCGAAATTCAAAAAATATCTTGGTCAAAACAGCGATTTAAATGTTGTTTGCATCCTAGGTCCAAAATTTGCCACTTTCCTGAGCTGCGCCCCCTGGGCTTATGTCCGGCTAGACGTAAGGAAAATATGTAGGGTAGAGTGCCCAGTATTCGGTCACTTAAGGGGAAATCACTAATATTTTGAATTCTTACCTCTTTTATTTGGCAATCTACCCATCAAAAGAAAAGAAATTTATTCCTCTGACAGGATTTTATAGTCACTTAAAATATAGAATAATGATAAGCAAAATACTTCCGAAAGAAGACGGAGCATTTTTCTGCCCAAAATTCGGTCGCGCCGATTAGAATTCGGTCACGCGATTTGTGCGTGGTATCTCCGTTGCGAAGGAGCGTAGCGTATTTGCGCACTATTTTCACACAATTGCGCGATAAAGCACTGAATGTCAATGCGTTGACCGAATACTGGCCGAGCGATACCGCATGGCAAGGGTATCGTATAAATACCTCTTGCACATCGGCAAGTGCGTCATTTGCAAATTCGCTGCGATGGAGCAAACACGGAAGTGATTCTCTTCACACACATACTAAATTCATTGTGACAGTACACGTAGTTGTTTCGCAATAGACTTCTACATATGGCTATGCATGTTAGCGCATGTGCTAAGAGAACACGGAAGTGCGGAAAGTTGTGCGACACTGACCAATTTCGAGCGAAGTTGGAGATCATTCCGGGGCCCTAAATCTGATTTAATTTTGAGAGTTAAGAAAAATTGTTCAGCTGCCTGATTTGTGCAAGTTTCGTGGCTCATAAATTATTTTTTAAATTGTTACAGCTGTTGAAACGGTTGCTGACCGAAAACTGGGAATTGACCGAATACTGGGCGCGCTACCCTATGCACTTATTTTTTCGCTAGCCCCAAGAGATCACTCGCCCCAACAGTTTAAAAATACTCTTCCCACATTTTTGGAATCAGCTAATTAGGGAGGTGTGAGCTCCGCTCAGTCCAAACCATGGTTACATCGCGTAACATCTGCGCGAATAGTGAATGAAAGTATGGATAGCTGTTCGCGCCATAAACCCGGGAAGTGAATACACATTATAGTCAATGGCAATATCGCGGAGACAACACACGTTGTCTCTGCGATATTGCCATTGACTACAACGTGTATTCACTTCCGGGTTCTATGGCGCAAACGTACTAGTCAATGGCACATATCGCGGAGACAGCGTGGCTCAAGCTGCAAGTCTCGCATTGGTTTAGCAACATGCGTACGATATGCATACGCTTGCATATCGCGCGATACAGCTGTTTGTCTGAATTTAGCAAAACAACAACACTCTGCGTGGACGTCTTTTTCGTCGATTTTGACCAAAATGATATGAATATACCAGCGTTTTGGAGGGGCTGTATCTTTTGATAGAAACATCGGTGAGACTTGAAATTTGAAATGTATTATTCTGATTACATTTTTTATTCAAATAACAAACAAAAATGGTGAAAAACGATCCCAAATTGAAAATTGAAAAATCGTTCAGACACCCTAGTCCTATCTTTGTATTTTTGTTCTGTTGGATCAACGATAGCCAGTGGTTTTGTGTTTATGAAATTGCTAATGTTAGTAAATTTTATTAGTTATTTTCTGTAGTGTTATGTAGCTATTTGTTTTAAAGAATAAATAAGGAAGGAAAGGATGAAGTGGTTGAATATTATTTGTGTTCAGTTCAATATGTTCAGAGGTTAGTGCGAGTTGGCTCAGTCGGTAAAGCGTCTGCCTATCGAATCAAAGATCTAGGCCTAGACCTAGTGAGATATATAATTAGAAAACGTACTTACGTTTCTTCGTTAAAATCTGACGCTTTAAATTTTTAGTCAATCTTTGGTTGGTCTTGGCTCCGGTTCTGATCATCGCACACACAAAATTGAAGAACCATACAACGTGGAATTTCCCCACGTGTCGATTGATACCATATTCATGATGTACCGGTAAGCGCTAAAAATATCAGCACTATAGTGATTTGAATAGAGCCTTGTTGTTGCACTCAAAATTGATTGTGAATAAAGAGTGCGGAGTCAAATCAATGCACCATGAATGCGCGGATAGTCACGTACCTACTCTTTGTATTATGAAACCAGCGATTTATACCGAGGAAAGCCAGAAGTGTACATGTACATGTATCATCTATACTCAGCAACAATGGTTGCAATTTTAGTACCACCTGACATGTCACGCCCTTACCTCTTCTATAACCTTCGATCCTAAAACAAAACGTGAATTATCTGAAGACATAAAAATTTGAATAATAATAACAAGTCTAGTAGTATGATGTTAATAAATAGTTGGTACTAGAATGAGGATCGTCCACATGAACCAGGATATCCTCGTAAACGCTGAATCACTTCCTAAAATAAAAGCATACTTGCCAACTGTTCAGATTAAAGAGGAACATTCCTCTTTTTGGGAGAAGATAATTATCATTTTAATGCAGGTGTTCCTCTTCCTGTACAAATTTGTCTGTAGTATTGAATAGGAGAGTTAGGATTGTTCCTCTTTTTTTTGAAAATAGCATAATTTGTACAGATTTCTGATTTTCAAATGTTGGCATGTATGTAAAAGGATCGTCCCGGCGAAAATTTCATACTTAAAATGAGCTGTAAAGGGTACATGAGTATTTGTTCACATCAACAACCCGCTTCTTGTAATGGCCAATATTAGGCTGATTGAATCTCTGTGCAGTACAAAATGTACGACCATTCGTTACAAGGGTCTGAAAATCAGACTATTTAATTAAACTAGCATGCTCGCTAAATACGATTAGACAACTAACGGTCATCATTTTCCCACAGAAAGACATTTCAAGCCCTTCTGTTTTGAGGGAAGTTCTAAATTAGTATTATCTTTCAAATACCATTGAAATTTTAACCTTTTCATTTTATGGACTGCAAATGGGACATGACATCTGTAGTATAAATTATAAAATTCATATTTTTACCAATAAATCATATTCACTCTTCATATTTAAACATTGCGTTTGGAATAATAATAGCACAACAAACTTAGGCATTCCCGAACAATCATAAAAATTGCTGATTAGTGCTAAACGGATTTCTAAAACCTATTTTTTTTAAATTTTCACCAAAACTTTTTTTCTTTTTCTCTTACTATCATCCCTGATACATGTAGCTGCTTCTGTAAGAAAGTAAGTCTTAACCCTTTAATACTGAATTTTCTTATTCCAATAGGCATAACTACAGGGGCCACCCTGTTTCCCATATGCGATGCGTTACCTTTCTTGTTTATAGTAGGTCTGAGCATTCTCAATAAATGAAATATCAATAAACTTTTTTCACTTTTTCTCTCTCTTGATTTCTCTCTTTCTGATTTGTAGGCCATCGAATTGACCATTATGTGCGCCTAACTTTGCTCTAGTCACCATGGCCCTGGTGGCTGTGGGGCTGTGAGCGGCAGCCCTGAAGGTCGACTAGAGAATCAGACCAAGGCTCTTGAATCTCCTTGATCAGACAGGAGTTCACAGACCAGGTGGGATCTGTCTGCTGTCTATAGATGAAATCATCCTGTAGCAGGTCAGTGTGAAGATTCTTCAAGTCTGAACATCAGCATTGGTTCATCTGCTTCCAAGGAAGCATTCTTCTGTGGTGTGAGACAACCTCTTTTAGCCACATCTTAGTGAAAGGGAGAGCTAGAAGTAGAAGTCTACAACAAAGTGTAGTCTGAGTAGTCAACGACTGGATCGGCTGAAGGATTTCTTGAAAAGGTCCTGATTTGATACCGTTGTACCTTCATGGTCACCTACCCTTCCTTCCTTTGAACAGTATCACAAGCAAGACTGAGACAAGTGCTCTTGTATTCCGGAATATACCCACCAAGGATGATGGAGCCGCTCTTGGGTTGGGAGTGCACTCCCCGTTGTCGCTCCCAGGAGCATGGCCGGGACATGGCTGCTGTTATTACCTGCGGGACCACCCATCAGATCAAGACCTACATCCTCTCCCACTGCCTCAACCCCTTCTTTGTATCGGACTTCAATGGAAGGAACCTGCTCCACGTAGCAGCCTCCTGTGGGAAGGTGGAGATCGTAGAGTGGCTGCTGGCCAAAGGAGCAGACTGTCGTGTAAGGGACAAGGAGTCTGGTTGGACACCGCTGCATAGGAGTCTCTTCTTTGGACAGATCTCATGTGCCATCAGTCTGATACGGGTGAGTGGGTTTTTTATCTAGAACTGGACAGCCACTTTTTTTTCAGTTGAAGCGTACAACTTTGAAGAAAGCATCATTTCAGCTTACCGGTATGTTGATTTTATCATGCTTTAAAAAAAAAAAATCATATCTTTGACAGACATCATCGTCCGACAAAATAAAGCCCCACTGCACTACTTATAGCTACTTGCGCCCTCTATAATAAACAGTGCCTAATCGGTGCCTGTTGGTCCCCTATGATCCCCCTTTTCTTATGTTAATTGGGAGCTGATTTGATGAGATAACCACCTGTCAGTGACCTTGCAGGGAGGTCTTATCCCCCCTGGCCAAACTAGTACAGACAGGCTTGAAGAAAAAATTTAACATGATATTTATAACACTGCAATCTCTTTTGTCTCTTTTGTCTCAGCATGGAGCATCCTTGAAGCGATATGACAAGGATGAGCTGACTCCAATGGAGTTGCTGATGAAGGACAAGCCAGCCTATGTGACCTTTGACCCTGTGGATCCTACTCAGGCCTACTCGTGGGGAACCAACTCTAACTTTAACTTGGGACATGGCAGGCAGCGCAGCAGAGACCAGCCTGAGTTGGTCGACTCTCTAGCTGCAGGCAACCACAGTATCAAACAGGCAAGGGTTTATCTCAATTTCTTCTATTTCTTCTCTTCAGTTTGATTTATTCTTTTCTGTTTGAATCGTCTCGTAATAAACCAGTTTACGGCTAGGGGCCCCATTTTAATTGGCGAGTAAACAAAGCCAATGACCTAGAGGTCATGTATTAATGCGTAAATTAAGATTGCGCCAATGCAAATTATGATGACATCACTGCCTACGCGCTGCATTGTGCGCGCACATCATCATTTGCATGGGCGCAATCTTAATGTACGCACAAATAAAACAAAGCCAATTAAAATGGCGCCCATGTCTGCGCATGCGCACTGATGTAACCATAAACTGGTGTATTGATGCCCGCAGTGTCATGAATTTGAATTATTTCTTTATCTATTGGAGAGCACTCAGGTTCAAATTATAGAATACTTTTTTCCTTATTCTTTATAGACAAATATTGATAGATACTTATGTTTTTTTTCAAAACATTTATGTTATTACAGAGTCTATGGAATCAATAAATAGAATGTAAGACAGTGGAATATTGTAGTCTTGATGAAGTGATGTTACCCTGTAACACAGTAGTTTGTAGTGTGGTTTCATGAAAGTTAACATCATAAGGAGCCCATCTAGCAGATGCCTTGTTAATGTGCGAAACTGTTATTTTCGCTGAAGGAACTTCTCAAATAGTCTACAAAAGAAGGTTTACTTGCAGTTTTCAAATTTTTCATTGCTCTCTTTTGTAGTTTTCCACTTTCATCAGACCTGATAATTACCCAATTTCAATCGGTTTCCCAATTTATTTTCCAGAATTTTCCTATTTTCCCCAATTTTCTTACTCATAACTCATGAGATGCCACCCCCCCCCCCCTGAATCCTCTTCTGTTCTTTTTTTTTAACTCAAGGGGCGGGTGGTTGAGGGAAAAAATAAAAAATTGAGTGCTCACTATCACCCCTGTTTCATTGCCCTCTGCTCTCTCTCTCTCTCTCTTGACTCACCAGGTCGTAATGTGCAAGTTCCACACGCTCTTCTTGACCCATCAGGGACGAGTGCTGGCCTGTGGTCATGGGCAGGGTGGTAGGCTAGGTCTTGGAGACGAGACGACCTGTCTCAGACCTCAGCTCCTCAAGTCACTCGGGGCTAGGTGTAAGATGATGGCTGGAGCTCGGGACCATTCTGTCTTCCTCATGGACAGGTAGGTTCTTCGGATGGGAACTTAAAACCCCATTGCACTACTTATAATAGTTACTTGCGCCCTCTATATAGCAAACAATGCCTAATCGGTGCCTGTTGGTCACCCATGGTCCCCTTTTTCTAGTGCAGACGGGCTTTAAGTTTTCACCGATGCACAGAATGTACTTGATTGTAAATGGCCTTTTCTATGTCAATTTTTATTTTGAACAATACCTCGCACAAGTTTCAACATTTTGAAAGGCTAAAAAGAATACCCAAAACAATTATTGGTGACAAATCAACTAGTTATTGTGATCATTAAAATTTGTGCAGTTGCCAAAGTCTCATGGAAAAAAAATCAGAAAACAAAGAGTTTTTTTTTTCCACAATAATTATCACAGGCTACTGAACATGTTTTTACATTCATGGTCATCTTAATTTTTGTCTGTGATGTTAACAATATGACAAAATTAACCTTCCTCCCCCCCCCCCCCCCCCTCCAAAAAAAAAAAAAAAAACTCACCTTTGTACAATGTATAGACTTGCCTTTGTTTAACCTGGGTTTTATCATCTTTCGACTGAAACAAAATCATGTTGGATTTTAAAACTGATAAAAATGAGCATGAAGTACTAACTACAACTGACAAGACTTTATAGTTACTGTATCATTCTTCACTCTTAAAAAAAAAAAATCACCTTTGTACAATGTATAGACTTGCCTTTGTTTAACCTGGGTTTTATCATCTTTCGACTGAAACAAAATCATGTTGGATTTTAAAACTGATAAAAATGAGCATGAAGTACTAACTACAACTGACAAGACTTTATAGTTACTGTATCATTCTTCACTCTTAAAAAAAAAAACTCACCTTTGTACAATGTATAGACTTGCCTTTGTTTAACCTGGGTTTTATCATCTTTCGACTGAAACAAAATCATGTTGGATTTTAAAACTGATAAAAATGAGCATGAAGTACTAACTACAACTGACAAGACTTTATAGTTACTGTATCATTCTTCACGCCTTCTTTATCAGTGGAAACGTGATGTCCTGCGGTGAGAACGCATATCTTCAGCTTGGTCACTCAACCATTGGTCAGAAGTGTTTGTTGCCCAAGACACTGGCCAGTAAAACCCTGAAGAACAAGGAGATCAGAGGAATAGCAGCTGGTCGCTTCCATACGGTCGTCTACACTAGGGAGGCTGTGTTCACGTTAGGCTTGAATGCCGGTCAGCTAGGTATGTATGAATAGCGATTGCCCATTGTCGGCATCCTTTGTCTTTTATTTTACAATTAAAATTTGTTTGGTTGGTAGTTTGGCAAGCACAAAGAGACGGCAACATTATTATTGTTATTACGTACGAGTTGCTTTCTTCACATTATGCCTTGTTAAAATATACATGTTTATACATCAGTGAACTTTACCATATAAAATCCCTCCCTCATTCTAACATCATCATCATGTATTTAGTAGCATTAATATTGCACAAAGTAACCCTGTAAACCGATCATTGGATCGGGGGCCAATTGTTGGCCGATCAGGTGAAATCGGAAAATAAATTCTGATCGCATTTTTTTCAATTTTCATTAAAATCCAAGATGGCTGCTTGATTCTCGCCTCTATTCTTAGAATAATATTATTAATTTCAAAATCATGAAAAGGCACTTAATATCAACAAACATGGTCTAGAACAACTCCAAATGATAAAATAATCCCAGCTATGCATGTTTTTTTAGTATTTGATAGCCCAAAACTTGAAATTTTGGCATTAAAAAAAATGAAACCAATAATTTTTGCTGATAATTTTTGCCGATAATTTTTGCCGATACCGATCTGCGAATCCGATCAAATCTCATCCTAACATCAGCAATATCAGGGATAAATTCTTCACCTGCATCACTGGGAAACTTGTAGTAATAGACAAAACATTACATTAAGTATATATCTCTCTCCTCCCTCTTTCCATCTCTCTCTCTCTCTCTTTCTCTCTTGTTATTTTAAAAGCTGACATACCCAGTAAGCCTGCCATAGACAAAGGATCAATATCAGGGATAAGTTCTTCAGGTGCATCACTGGGAAACTCGTAGTAGCAGAGCAGACATTACATAAAGTACACATCGAGAAATCAAAAGTCATTTTTATCTTTCCGTGCAGGTCACAATAAGGGTGAGAAGTGCATCGGAAGCCTTCACCAAGTAACGTCCCTCTCTCATCCTAACATCATCATCAAGGACGTGGTGACCAGTGATGCGGCGACGGTCTGCTTGACCAAAGATGGTGACATCTACGTCCTCCAAGAATACCAATGCAGGAAGGTCGCATCAAAGTAAGATAGACCAGGGACCTGTTTCACAAAGCCTTTTTTCAATGACAGAAGACAAAAATTTGTGACAAATCTGTTGATAACCAATCAGAAGCAAGGATTTCAGTAGCTTATAACAAAGACTGTCATTTGTCACTGATGAAAAATTTTGTGAAACAAGGCCCATCTTTATTGTCTAAGATGAATCGGAGATGAATTTTATTTTTGTGAATTTTTATTTCATTGACTTGGTATATCTTGATTTAGCTTGAGTTTAAATGAATTAAATTCTCGCTATCTCCAATACCCCCCAAATGCCAGGATGTGTGACTCTTGGATGTAATTTCAAGCTACTTACGGGACTTACATACTTCTGGGGGGTATTTCATAAGGCCTTTTTTCAATGACAAAAATCAGTGACAAATCCACTGATAACAATTCAGAAGCAAGGATTTCAGTAGCTTATAACAAAAACTGTCATTTGTCACTGATGACAAGTTTTGTGAAACACTCCCTCTGGAGTACCGTCCATAAGCATGCGGCACGTTCACGTTTCAAGAATTATGCATGTGCAATATATACATGTATGTATCTGAAAGCTTTTTCTAGATGCCTCTCTTGATGGCTGCTACTGGCTTCCATGATTGTTCGAGAAGAAATACTTTGGGAATCTCAATACATGTCCATCATTTTGTAATTGTTCTTTTTCAAAATGCTGCTAACAGAATCACGTTCGTGCAGTGCTATCAAACTTGTCTCGCCTTCCGAGTAACTTTTGCCAAGGTGTGCACTGTGTTCGGTTAGTTGGGAACTTACCCAAGTCACATCTTTAATCCAGGGATATCTCTAAAAGTTTTGTTGTTTATTTTCGTGCAACCAGTATAGACAGATTCACAGTACCGAAGAATATTCCGACTGACAATTCAGTATAACAAATAGAAAATTGCGTACGATATACTAAAAAAGAGAAAAAAGGAAGACGAAGTGAAAGGTAGCACCATCCAAGTATTGCAATGCGTATTACAGGCAGCTAGCTCAGTGAGTATCGGCCGGCGGGCACTACCGCACCGCACCGCACCGCGCCAAGTCCAGATCAGCACAGTACAGCCGCATGAAACAGACAGGAAGCAACTTAGTCACCAAGCTATGCCAGAGTGCATTTGAAATGGGGGTATTGGCGATAGCAAGTATTGTAGTATACTAAATGGAGTGGAATTAAAGAATGGCAAAATATATCTGATACCTTCTTGAGAGTTGTGTTATTCTTTTTTTTCTTTTTTTTATTGTTTAATATTCTAATGTATTTCTCAAAGTATAAAAATTCCATGTTTGAATTTGGCTTAGCCAAAGCAGAACTAGCTAATAATAACATCGCAGAAAGAATTGTAGAATTTATTTCCAGTATGAAATCTAAACACAAAACCTCTCTTCATCTCTGTCTTTCAGTCACCTATCTGTTAAGCAGCTGGCAGTAATCGGTGGATGTCTCAACGCCGAGTTGGCTGAAAACGTTTTAGAGAAACAAGGAGGAGAAGAACTGCACCTCCTTGCTCTTCATTCAAACGGCAAGGTAAACTATAATATTATGAATGGCTGGGTGTGTAGCATCTGTTGGAAACCACAAGATCATTGACTCTGTGTTATAAAGTATATGAGTCAATGCCCTGGTACCTCAGAAAAGATGATATATGTATGTACATGTATATTGGTATATTTTTCACCACACATAATACTACACCATTTGGTCAGATTTCCTTACATGAAAATCCTGAGATGGCCTATGAAATCCGGAGTGCACTTTGTGCCCTTATTGGCAGAAATTGATATGGAGAAGAACAGTCAGACTAATGAGTTAATAAAGGGTATAGTTAGTAAGTGGCTTAAGGCAACACCCCCATTCCACACGGTTTATATAGTTGTCAGATATGACACAGCAAACATCCATTAATACAGTGGAAGCAGGCAGCTCTTATTAAACTCCTCAAAATAACAATTCTTTTACAGGGGGTAGGAGTTTGCTGCTACACATTTGCTTGAAAAAAATGGGTTTTGTGGCCTGACCTAAAGCTTTTTGGCTTGTACAATGTAGGTGTCGCGAGGAATAGGAGGGAGGGTGTTCCAGAGACGTGGAGCAACTGAAGAGAATGGTTAAGGTAAGGTTTGCAATTGGGTTTTAATTTAGGATTAGGGTTGAGATGTAGGTAAAATATTTGGTGCCGGTTGAAATGATGAATTCAACCGGTGTAGGATGTTGATCACGGTGCAATTGTCTCTAGACCATACAACAAACCTGAGACTCGCTGTAATATACCAAGCCATTGTTTGTCTTTAGGTTTCTAGCTGGAGTAGGAGTGATAATTCCTGGAGACGCTGCGTGTGGACCCACCGTCGTCAGCTCTCCGTCGCCCAGATAGCATTCAATGAGCAGAACATGGTCTTTGTTACCTCAGAAGGGGAAGGATTTCGTGCCAAATTCATCAGTGCCAAGAAAAATGCAGGTACTAAGCTTGTACTGGGAAATTTAACAAATTTCTCATTATACTTGCATTTAATTGATTTTCTATACCGGTAGTTTATCAAACTTTTTTCAAGATTTTGACACTTTTAATTTTCATGTTTTCCATTCTGAGCTCCAATAAAAAAATTTAAAAAGTTTTATTTGTATGGATGCAGCTTTAATTTCCTACTTGTAAGGATAAACATTCCAGCTCCATTTACTATACTTAAATGGTATAACAAGATAATGAATTGCAGGTGTTAAAAAAATTGGTACATGCCCACATTCAGCCAGCATTATTTTATCGTGTCATAATTGGACAAAAGCTATTAAAGCCATTAGAAAGTGTGTAAGATAGTCATTCAGCAGTCATGTAAGTAATGTGCTGAGAATATAAAGAGATGATTTTCCTCAGCTGATAATGGGCCTGGGTAGGTGCAAATGTTGCTAGAAGGAGGCTAGGAAATGGCTGTAAGCCAAATCATCGTTCGAATATGAAAGTTGCTTTCTGCCTCCTTTTCTTGTAGATTAGATTAGAGTCAGTTTAATTCACATACTAGGAAAGCCAATTGGGTCTTTGTGATGGAGTACATTGTCCCCCTTCCAGGCATAGAGCATATTAAAATGATAATAAAGTTAATTTGTCAAACCTCTCTCTCTCTCTCTCTCTCTCTCTCTCCCCCCCCCCCCCCCCCCCTCCTCCCTCTTTCCCCTATCTCTTTCTCTCCCCCTCCTTCTCTCCCTCTCTCTCTCTCTCTCCCCATCTTCCCTCGTTCTCTCTCTCTTTCCCCTCCCCCTTCCTCTTTCCATCTCTCTCCCCTCCTCCCCTCCTTCTCCCTCTCTCTCTCTCTCTCTCCCTCTCCCTCTCACTGTCTCTCCCTCTCTCTCTTAAAAAGCTGACATACCCAGTAAGCCTGCCATAGACAAAGGATCAAAGGAAAGCAAAGATGGGCGAAGTGAGCAGCTAGTCAGCGTAGAACGTCTGCCAGTTATTCACAGAGCTACAGGTGTAGCCTGCGATCCTAACGGAACAAACTTTGTTGTGTTGCAGTCAGATCCTAGAACAAGGTTAGTGTGATATATTAAGTCTGGAAAGTATGTTTCATAAAACTTTTCATCAATAACAAGTTACATTAACTATTATAAGTTAATGAAATCATTACATCTGATTGGCTGAGAGCAAATTTGCCATAGAAATATTGGCATTTGTTATTGATTACATGTTTAATGAAACAGGTCCCAGGTGTAGCCTGCGATCCTAAAGGAACAAACTTTGTTGTGTTGCAGTCAGATCCAAGAACAAGGTGAGAGTAAAACACCAAGTCTGGAGACAAAGAGCGCGTTTATCTAGGCTTGCCACTAGATATGTACATATCGTACCCCACTATCGAACCCCACTATCGTACCCCACTATACGATCGTGATTTGCGGGATGTCGCATTTATCGACCCTTCACGATTCAAAATAAAGGCCTTGTGTCTGCCCAGCTGTTTTGACCCGGGAAGCAGACAGTTTCTCGGAGGTCAACTTCACACGTATGCTTGTACACAACACCTGGGTGGTCATATTTGTATGTGAGGTTCAAAACAGCTTTGCGTTTATCGATCTCTCAGAAACGTGATTCTGGCTGTATGTCACATTCAAAACGCACCTTTTTGCGTCTTTAGATATGCCCATATCTAAAGACGTTTGAAAAAGGCTTTGCGTTTATCTACTTCTAAATTTGCCTGAAAGACGTTTGAGAAATCTGATTCTAGCCAAAAATTTGCTAGATAAACGCAACCTAAGTAATCTAAAAACAAGAAGATATTGTTTTTTATCTCGTGCAAATTAGCTTTGCTTTCCTACGGTCAAATCTAAGAACCAGGGCCCCGTTTCATAAAACTTTTTAACAGTAACAAGTATACAGGGATAGCACTTTTCTTGCAATTGCCAGAGTTCTGGCTTTTTTATATTTTGGGTGTCAAATAGACGGTTATCAATCAGACATGATATGAATGAACCAGAGAGAAAAACCATGAATAGACTTCAAAATGTGATTTTCAGTATATTGACGTGTAGTTTGTATATTGTATTGTACAGCAGATATGAATGATTTGTTAAAATTGCTGGTGTAAGAGTCTGGAAGAAAAATATCCAAACTTTGCAGACATGCACTTTCATAAATTAGTCAACATTAATATCACTTTTCTTTCCTGCAGTTTAACTGAGCTTCCTGAAATGAGTGTTTCTGAGATGGGAAGCCATTTTAAACAGCTCATGGTGGAGGCTGACTCCATGGACATGATACATGATGTACTAATCAAGGTGAGTAGGCATGGTGATGGGGAGCAGCGAACTGCAGGGTAGCTTCAGCATAGTTAAATTCCATTTAGAACTCTCATACCAACAGATTATATACCTATCAGTAAACAGGTTATCTTAATCAATAATTACAAATCTTGTAATTGTTCATGTATTTGATTACTTCATTTTGATTTTTTCACTTCCTTGTTTTAGAAGATAACAATGTTAAATCAAACATCAACCTGCTTTAGCTACCACCTGTATAAAAAGACCACATTTTTGTGTTTCCTTTGAATAGTGTCTATCATTGGAATATGTATTGAAGGAACCTGTACATAAAGACCAACTGCCTATCAAGACTGCAGTTCTTGTCTCCCTGGAGCAGTCTTTATGTGCGTGTGTGTGTATTGGGTTTTTACAGACGTGTATCAATCAGATATGATTATTTACGTCTGGGACCGACCTTTAAACGTCACCATCCGAAAGACGTGACTCAGTTTCGAACCTGCGTCCTCAGCTGAATCAGTTTGTAACTTCCACTTTTTAGCTGGATTACAGGCGCACGCCACAACGCCTAGTTAAATCTACATCTACAAAGTCCTCAAGCAGGTTCATCCAGATACCGGCATCTCCAGTCGGGCCATGGTCATCATGAACAGCTTCGTCAACGACATTTTTTATGTGCAGGTTTCACTGTAGTTTATATGTGTCTTGTACATACCGTAAATCTCAGTGTATAAGACGCACCATAAGACACACCCCTAGTTTGGGGGCAGTTGAAATCGCCGATTTGTGCTTGTGAACTTTGTCACAATAATATAGTAACAATGTCGTTTTTAAGACTAAAGATGACAGACAAATTTTCCTTCAAGTCTAAACTGAAATTTGGCCATACAGGTAGTGTTGTTCTAGAGTCAACACACCTTGTGTGACTGAGCTGGGAGACATTGCCTGGCACAGTGCAGGTGGAGGGGCATAAATCGACACTTTAAAAAAAAAATTAAAAATGTTGTTTTTGTTTTTGTACCTGTCTTATACACAGAGATTTATGGTATATGTTTTACACTTTGACAGATTGACAATCATCGGCTTGCAGCTCATAAGTACATCCTTGCTTACGGCAGCGAGTACTTCAGCAAGATCTTCACCGACCCTGATGAACCTTCTTCATCAGAGAACAACGGGAAGATCTCCAACAAACCAGAAGTCCTCATCGATGACGAAGGAACAGCCATCGTTGACCTCACCGACATCATCGACTACGATATCTTTCACATCTTGGTGCAGTACCTGTACACTGGTACGTGTGATGCGTTCCGTCCTGACTTTGAGCTTCGCATCAACCCTTCTAAGCAGCATGGCTCTGCTGACCAGAGAAGCATAGAATGTGACCCTGCTTCAGAGGAAACATACGGCAGGGAAGAGCTGACAATAAATGAGAGAAATCGTCACCAGTCTGCCCATTCTGTGTATAGGGAGCATGGAAAGGGTGGAGAGGGGAAGAAGAAAGGGAAGAAGGGGCGTAAAAAGGGGAAGGGAGAGCCGTCGGATCACCCCAAAGCTGAGAAACGTAAACCATTATCAGCTGTCAGACTGGTCGCAGAAGAAGCGAAGAAATTTGGAATCAAGTCTCTTGCCAAAAGGTAATTTCTCAGTCAAGAATATTATTTGATTTCCCTTATTGAAAAATGCTTCCATTTATATCAAATTTAATAGTGTTTATGTATTGGCTGGAAAGATGAAACATTGGGGCTGTTCACACCGGCAGAGATAGCGCGCGCTAGACTGCGCCATCTCTGCGGTTTGGAAGGTACAACGTCGTTTCGGTCCGCCCAACAGCAAGCCACGGCGAGCCAAAACGGCGTGCCACTGGAGCACCTCTTGGGGGTGGTCCACGAGAGATAGCGCGGTCTAGCGCGCGCTAGAAAAAAGGGGGTGCTACGATAGACCGCGCTATCTCATTGCGGTGTGAACAGCTTCAAAGATTTCTTTGAGTGCCAAAAGTTTTCCAAAGTGTCATCAATAGGTAGATGATTTATAAAATTAATAAGGAAATGAATGGATTTATGAAGATATAAATTCATGGCAATATAAGATCAGTTTAGAAAGGGGAAGTCTCAAGGTTTAGTGGAAAAAAAAAGGAATTCTGCTGCAAGCTAGTCAAAATTTAGTATAATATATGGTTGTATTGAGAAAACTTACTGATTTTGGTTGCTGAGTAATGGCAGTGTGCAGCATTGCTCATTGCAGCAAACGTCCACAGATCGTAATGAGTACAAGTCCATGTAATAGTTGTGATCACTGAAAGAGTGATATACGTGTAGTGTGCTCTTTAAGCCTTGTTTTGATATGACGCTTTTTCATCTAAACGAACCTGTACCAGTTTCCTGTATTTGCATCAAATGAATCATTGGTGACATGTCAGATTATTGAATATTATGAAGGTATCATTATTTTAATTATTTTTCAATCACTATCATTACTAGATTGGACAACGTCAAGTTTGTTGATGGGAAACTGATTAACTTTGGTCCTGCCCTGTTTCTGCTGAGCTTCAATCCGAGCAGTCTCCGGCACCTGAGTGATGTAGTGCTGATGTCAGAGGAAGGAACTCTGTTTCCTTGTCATAAATGTGTTCTCTCAGCTCGTCTGGATTACTTTCAGAACATGCTGGGGAGCTGCTGGATGGAGGTGAATATAAATAATCATTGAAGAAACAAAATTGTTTAAAAATGTAAAAACAAAGTCTTGCCCTAATGAGACAAGCAGATACTCTATGGCCCTCATTGACATAACCTATGGTTTAAAACTAGCGCAAGTTACATGTAAGCGCGACACAATCAGACGTCCAATATTAGATGCGCGCAAGGCAAGTAACGCTTAGTTTGCGCTAATTTTAAACCATGGATTATGTAAATGAGAGTTTTAACCACGGGTTAAATTTAAACCTCCTTTGTGAATTTTGGCCTATTTCTTGTTAAATTTTTCTTGTTATCCCAATATATCTTTCATTTTAATGGCTTTTGATGATCCAGAAAGTGATTTATAAACATTGATTACATACATACTCGTGTGTTTGCTATTAAAACATGTTAATTTGAATCATTCTTTACCATCCTTGATCAAGCGCTCTCTCTCTTTCTCTCTCTTTCTTTCTTTTGCTCTCTTATACAGGCTTCTACTGAGGAGCCTCTGAAAATGGCCATGCCGGCTGCGATCTTGGACCTGCTGTTGGACTACCTGTACATGGACCAGGCCCCCAAGCTAGATGGGTGCCAGGACCTAGAGATATTGTGTAACACTCTTGCCATCGCAGACCAGCTCTTTGTAACCAGACTCAAGGATATTTGTGAAATCACTTTGGTTGACCTCGGTAAGATATGCCTTCCTCTTTGTTCATTTTCTTGTAATTTTTGTATAGGCACATAGCATGTAAAATTCCTTGTCAACGTATGTGTGAAGCAGATATTTTAAGTATTATTTTGGTGAACAGCATACAGTAACAGATCTTCTTCAGTTTGATTGTACATATATGTGCTAAGCTTTCTTGCTAAAAGCCAAATATCAATTCAAAATCACTGACTCATAAATGGCAGTAATTTTTCTTTTTTGAGGGTGGGCTGAAAAGTACATACATGTATTTCAAATTCAGGTTTTGTTCATCTTGATTATAGTGCAGTCCATAGTACCTTCATTGATGTTACGTCATAGCTACAAACATGCTTGCAATTTGATTGCAAGAATTGTACCTGTAGGTAAAGTTTTCAGGACTACCACGTGTACATTTTATTCCTTCAAAGGAATAATTTGAGGGTTCAGTGACACAAAGACGTAACTTCATATTTTGCCAAAATGTGTATTTGATATCAAAATGTTCAGAAAAATGTGGGCTTTCCAGGAAACACAAAGACTTAACTCCACCCATTGAAGTCAATGGCTAGTGAAACATAGACTTAACTTAACTACTTTTTCTCATAATGGAGTTTCGTCTTTGTGTCACTGACCCCTCAAATTATAACTAGGATTGGCAGAGTCTGAAAAATAGGATATCGCTTTCATTTTCCAGTCACCTTGAGGAACGTAGCCGAGTTGCTACAGTTCGCGAGCATGTACCAAGCCCTGCAGCTGAAGGCTAGCTGTCATCAGTACATCTGCCTGAACCTTGCCTGTCTGGTAGAGTCTGGTAGCCTGGAGCCTCTGGATGAGCATGTCCTGGAGGAACTCTCTGCAGCCTATAAAGAAACTGTGAGTTGATTAGAATAATAATTTTTATGCCTCCGCCACCGAAGGTGGTGCCAGAGGCATCATGTTTTCGAGTTATCCGTCCGTACGTCCGTCCCGTTTGACCGTTATCACAATATCTCAAGAACCATTTAAGATTTAAACTTAAGACTCAGGAATAGTAGTTATCACCATAGGAAGACGATCTGATTAGATTTTGGAGTACGTAGGTCAAAGGTCACAGGTCACAGAGGTCAACTTATGAAATTCCTTGTATTGAGTTTGTTAGCGCGATATCTCAAGAACCATTTGAGATTTAAACTTCAAACTTAGTGATAGTGTGTATCACTATAGGAAAACAATCTGATTACATTTTGGAGCAGGTAGGTCAAAGGTCAAGGGTCATAGAGGTCAACTTATGAAATTCCATACATTGAGATTGTTATCATGATATCTCAAGAACCACTGGAGATGTAAAAACTTCAAACTTAAGGATAGTATGTATCACCATAGGAAGACGATCTGATTAGATTTTGGAGCACGTAGGTCAAAGGTCAAGGGTCACAGAGGTCAACTTATGAAATTCCATACATTGAGATTGTTATCATAATATCTCAAGAACAACTGGAGATTTAAACTTCAAACTTAATGATAGTGTGTATCACCATAGGAAGACAATCTGATTAGATTTTGGAGCATGTAGGTCAAAGGTCAAGGGTCACAGAGGTCAACTTATGAAATTCCATACATTGAGATCGTTATTGCGATATCTCAAGAACCACTGGAGAATTTTCACTTCAAACTTAATGATAGTATGTATCACCATATCATAATATCTCAAGAACCACTGGAGATTTAAACTTCAAACTTAATGATAGTGTGTATCACCATAGGAAGACAATCTGAGTAGATTTTGGAGCACGTAGGTCAAAGGTCAAGGGTCACAGAGGTCAACTTATGAAATTCCATACATTGAGATTGTTATCATGATATCTCAAGAACCACTGGAGATTTAAACTCCAAACTTGTTTAAATTGCTCTATGGCGGAGGCATCATTTTCGACTGCGCCCAGTCAAAATTCCATCTAGTTTTTTTTTAAAGCCCCACTGTACTACTTGTAGCTACTTGCTCCCTCTATATAGAAAACAATGCCTAAGGGATGCCTGTTGGTCCCCCGTGATCCTCTTTTTCTTATATTAATTGAGAGCTGAGTTAATGAGATAACCTCCTATCAGTGACCTCGCTGGGTGGTCTAATCCCTCCTGGCCTAACTAGTACATACAGGCTTTAAGCACTTTACCAGTTACAAGTGACCAAAGTGCTTACAGTATTATGATTACCCCGGTCACTGGATTCCGTTACTATTCCAAACATTACATAACCAAGAAATTACATAAACAGAACCAGTGCACATCTGATTTTACAAGGTATTTCATGGTGTCTAGATGATTTGCTTATATTATCTTCACAGACTTTCAAAAGAACTTTTTTTCACAAAATTTTGTGATAAGAATACTGTAGTTCATACCTTTATAGGTATGCCCCAGCATTTTAGAAAGAAATGGTGCTACTGAAAAACCTGAAATGTTACTTTTAGTTTGATGTATTGAAATCGATGTCGGTTCTTTAAAAACACAGTGTAGAACAATATGTGGCCTTTTGACATTTCTTTACATTAATTTACTTCTAAATACTTACAGCTCCCATACTCGAGATTCATCAAGCCTTCAATGAATGCCCCTGACATCAGCCATATTGATCCCTACCCTCCCGAAGAAGCTGCCTCCCACCAAGATCCGTCTAGCTCTAGTGCACAACCCAAATCCTCCAACCCTTCCTTGAAAGACTTTGAGGCCCTTGCTCGCAAGGCAAAGGCGAGGCGCAAGGGACGTCGACACACCAGCAGCACCGGGAAACACACCAGTGTGTCCGTTAGCGAGAGCTGCGATGATCCAAGCGTGGTCCAAGGATCCAAGCACGATGATCCAAGCATTGTCCAAGGATCCAAGCCAGATGAACCCTCCCAGTCTGATTCCTGCAGTGAGGCCCTGCAGGATGTGTTTGTCTCATCTCCTGCAAGGGTGGTGTCTTTGAACCCAGAGGATCAAATTGCAATATCATCTACCTCTGAAGATCACGCTGGCAATGAAGCAATGAACCCGATGTCTCCTGATAAAGTGATGACGGCAGAAAACATTGATGGGATGTATGTACTTGAAAGGAAACACAAAAGAGAAGACGGTTTGAATTATATGGATACTAATAGAAAGGAGAGAAAGAAAGCAGGACAAACAACTCCTTTCAAGCTTACAGTACAGACAGGTGATCAAGAGTGTCAGGTAAGGATATCTAATTGTAGATTTCTATCATGATCAGAATAATCCAAGCATTAGATATTCTGCTGACTTTGAAGAATAGCATAGAATACAGACATCCTGAAGCTTTAGGTCTTGCACTCATCAGAGTAAGGCGCAAGAATGAGCATGAAGCTTAAATGGGAAAATATAACGGAAGCTGAAGGAGCAAAGCACATGAAAATGTGCTCTGATGAAGGCAAGACAATAAGCTTTTGTTTGTCTGTATTCCTTGCTTTTCTTTGATTTTTTTAGTACCATCGATTCCTCTTTTTCTTTTTCTTTTTTTTCAAGAGAAGGATATTAATTTGTTGTTTTGTCTGTAACAAAAATTTTTTTATGTTGCAGGAGAATGTTTTATGTCTCCAAATTTGATAAAGATAGTTATCAATAGACATTTTATGGATAGATACATGTGCTACATGATGTATGAATATTATTAGTCATGCTTGTAAACACTATCTCTGTAAATATATTATGTTTGTTTATACCAGGGAGAGAATAATGGACCCTCTGGCAGTTCTAGGATTTGGAGTTGGGCAAGGTATGATTTTTTTTGTTTCTATGGGTGAGATAAAGAAGTGATCTAAATTCACATTGAAGACATGTTTAGGTGTTTTTTACATTTTGTATGTGTATTTCTTCATGTTTAGAAAAATTGTTAGCTGTAGCAGTACAGTTGTAAATAACAAATAATATTGAAATCTAACTATAGATATTTTCTATTATTTTGTGGTATACACCTAATTAACTACTGAATTAGAGTGTTACAACTTAAGTAATTTCATCTTCAGGGGTGGGGTATGATAATATTTCTTGCTATTCTCTGTTTCACAGCCCAAAGAGCCCAATAACCGGTCTTCGGGATATCATGCAGTCCCAGTCAGGTATTAACAAACCCCAAGCCAGCTCGTACCCTGGGCCAACCAGTCCTCCAGCGCAGATAGCAAGAGCACCACTGGTTGCCGCCACATCACCCCTCCCGATCTCCCCTACCCAGAGACCACAGCATACTGCTGCCAGGGGCCACACCCCCCTCTCCCCAACACAGAGACCCCAGCAACCCTCTGTCAGGGGCCACACCCCCCTGGGGAAGAAGTCCCAGAAGCAGAGGAAGAAGGAGATGCAAGCTGCTCTGATAGGGGGAGGGGTGGATGAGAAGAGGACTGGGGGCGGGGATGGGACGGATGGACAGGTGGTAGGAGACCACAACCCTGTGACTTGCCCCTGGTAAGTTCATCAATTGACTACTAAATTCTCTCAATTCCATATACATAATACAGGGACCATTTATTTCCAGTGGGCAATGGTTTAATGAATTAACACTTCTAATGGATGCTTATATATTGGATGGCTTAGAGTGTGATAAAAGAAAATATTGTCATAGCAAGAGCAATATAAACTTATATCACACGAAAACAAAGCCATACATTATTATTTATATCCCTTCTATGAATATTCATGAGTTTTCTAAATACATGATTGGTCAATTGGTGGTCACGTGATAAAATATTATTTCACTATTTGAAACAAATCTCTGTCAGAGCTCCGAATATTTTCCACTATTTTTCCATGGGCAGAACTGCGCATGCTCTATGAGATTTTCAGGTAGAAAAGCATTGTGACGTCACATCATGTTCAGTAAAAAATAATGCGCAATTAGCGCGTCTCATTAAATGCGCGTTAATATAATTGTGCGCAGGTTAAATTGACAAATTCAAACTGATTATAAACTTTTCCAATACCGCCGGCCCAATGTGGGTGACATAAGAATAAAGTTAAAAACCATAATGCCAGCCAATCATTAATCAAACGTTCGGATCGTAACGAAGTGATATAAAACGAATATACCAAGCATTTAGTTTGTAAGAATAGTGGAAATTATATATCTTCGGAGGGACTGCAATAGTTACTATTTCTTCCTCGGGGCGAAAAATAGTACTTTGCCAGTCCCTCCTCAGATAAATAATTCCCACTATTCTTTCTCACAGCTTCCATATCAGGCTGACTAGCGAAATAACAAAATCTGACTTACCTTAGTGAATGGATATTGTATCGACAGTTAAAGTTCCGAAGAGACAGAGCAATGCGAAAATGATATTGATCTGTCATCTGAGTACTGCGCTAAAGATATTAAAAATACACTGATTTATTGTACCACTTCAAAGTCTTATAAAGATAATAATGTTGAATATTAGGGCCATATTACAGTTAATAAAAATATGTGCATTCAAGTTGCACTGCAAAACAAAATCAAACCCAAAATAAAAAATTAAAAAATGTTTTTACTTTGTTTCTTGATACAAACATCATAAACAAGTTTAAGTTATACTTGACTGTTCATGTGTAATGTTAAATCTAATCATGCCGTGAAGAGATAATTCAGTTAATTTTTTTACCACACATATTGCAAAATATACAGTGAAACCTGTCTATAAAGACCACCAAGAGAGACAGGAAAAGTGTTCATTGTAGACAGGTTCCTTTAGTACATGTTTCAATTAGAAATCATTTTGATTGGAAACAAAAAAAATGTTGTCTTTGTAGACAGGTGGTCGCTAAACCAGGTTTGACTCTACTAGAAAGTGGAGATACAAAATTGTCACTTGATGAAATATCTAATAACTCTTGTTTGTGAACAGGGCCAATGTGGCGCCACGTCAGCCATCTCAAGTCTCTTTTCGTGAGCTCCAAGCTCAAGATGAAGATGTTGAATCTATCTGGGATCCCGTCCCATCTTCATCACCAGATAAGAAAACTTTCTCTGCATCAAGGAAAATAAGGTAAGACATATAGTTGTATTTATCTCCTCAGTTTGCCCAGGGTGCATATGAACTATTTTCATTTCCCTTGAATTTGAAATTCCTTAATTGTTTAGAGGGCACTTTTGGACCATTTCCTTTTTTTAAGTCCCCCCATGAATCATATTTTTGTCCTATTTTGGGGGCACTTTTAGGAATTTCTGGGGCGAATTTGCCCGCCGCCCCCATGAATTTTTTTCCCTGGGCAGTCCATCTTTCATTCTTGAGTTATGAAAAATACAAAAACACATCAAATTTTGAAGGGGTATAAATAATTCAGTTGTTAATTGTGGCTTTCAAACCCTTCTTGCGGCAGCCAACAAAATGTGGTGTCAAAGGATACACAAAACTAGAATGAGAAGTCATTAAGCAGTGTCAAGTCAGTTGACAATATACAGTGTATTTTTTTTCTCAACCGCGCCCCCCCCCCCCCCCCCCAACCCAACCCCACCACACTTAAATGGACCAAGGGTTATGGAATTTATAAATTCTTATTGAACTTACATGTGTATATTACATTTCTTGATTGAAACCGACATCCACCTGTATTTAATCTAATAGATGAAGTATACAATTGGTGACGTATAACTTTAATATCTGACCGTCAAAATACGTAGTATATTTGAAAAGAGAGTAGCGTTGTTCATGAGAGCTGGAATCGACAGGGTATGCTTAATTGAGATGAGATGAGTGATACCATTTTGGAACCATATCTGTTTTTTTTTTCTTTTTCAAAACGTGTAAATGAATGGCCACTGCGTGCATTGAAATTCCTATATATGTATTCACTGAGCTCTGTGTTATATATACAGATACATGTATGAGATGGATATTGCACTTATATTATCATGTAGAAAGACAGAAAAAGTTGATTTCCCACTTCATTTCTGAACAAGGCTTTATTGATCTGGGGAGTGTTTCACAAAGACTAAGATCGCCGTTAAGTTGGATTTAACTATGGTTGCTCTCACCATTATGATCTTTAGATAATATTTTTTCCTTCAATAATGAAATATCAACAAACGTAAATTCTGTAGATTTGTGAACATGATTTGTACGTCCCTTGAGAGACCAATGCCAGTAATAAATAGTGAGAGCAAACAGTGGCATGAACGGTCTGCCATAGTTAAGTCCAACTTAAAGTCGATCTTAGTCTTTGTGAAACACTCCCCATTATCATACATGTGACATATATGTATGTTGTCCATAGATAAAGATCACATCATACACCATGTGATAAACTGTCACAACCTTCTTGTATACCGTGTATTGTAAGCTGCACTATGAGCTGCTTGCTTGAAGCTAATATAACAAGACGGTTATTACATCCTCCTCACCCATACTCACTCTCAATAGGCCTGTCCTCATCAGCTCGAGATTGCCAAATAACCCTCTAGTTTAACCATCCCGATCGCAAATTATCCATCTAATTTGCGTCTTCATCAGCCCGCAGTTGCAATTAGCGGGATATTTGGTTGAGATAATCATCCCAAGATGACTTGGGCTATTTTGCAAAATATCCGCTATTTGTCCGGTGCGTCTTCACCAGCCCGAAGACTCGCACAATGCGCGAACGCTGAGCAAAAAATCTTGAGTTACAAGTTTCGAGGTCAAGTCTCGAGCTGATCAAGACCCTATTTGTAACTTCGGGCTTATTTCCCAAATCAGATATACATGTGGTGGGCTATTTGGCAATCTTGAGCTGATGAAGACATACTCACTCTCAATGAGAGCAACAAAGGTCAGAGTTCATACATCTGGATTAATCATCACCCTAGAAGTGCCATATCTAATCATCCGCTTATTAAACTGTAGTAGCCTAGGTATTCGTCCTCAGGGTCAGAGCCAAATGTTTTATCTGTGGTGACACAACCCTCGTCGTAATATATTGTTTATTTCTAATTATTATTTCCATATCATTGCCCCAATAGGCAATTTTTTTTTTATAACAAACACAAAAATTCACATTATGAATTGTTAAAGTTACAACACAAACTAATGGATATGATAGAAAATTAATCCTTGTAGTTAGAAATTAACAAGGGAGTTCATAGTAGTACGTTTAGATGGTTATTATGTCCTTTAATGTGCAAGTTTTGTTGTTGTGATTGTGGTTGCTGCTGCTTTTGAGTTTTTTTTAGTTTTTCTATTTCACCTTTCCAAAAACTAGTTTATAAATAATCCATAGTGACTTGTAACTAATTTTTATCAGACTGATGATCATAACCAGAAGTGCAAGTAAAACTTACCCCAAAAACAAATCCAATGAAGAAAAAAACCTCAAATACTAAAATCTACACTGTATGCACTCATGGTCCACGGTGCAATATATGGCAAGCTGTAGATTTGGCAGTGTAAAGGTTGGAAGGGATGTGAGCTCGGATCCACTTGAGGCTATAGTAGAGGGAAAGAGCACACCACCCCTTAGATACAGTTAACAGGTTGATGGTTTTAACACCTGAAGTAGCCTATCCAGCGGCTCATTATCTTCATCATGCACCAGTTATTAGTTACCCTGCAGTCTTTCCAATTAGTGCTCCTTTCGGTTGATTAGCCTGGTGATTGTGCATTTTGGTTCATGTTTACGTTTATTTTATGGTGAGGAAATCATGCTGCAATTGTGTTTTTCTGTACATATATACCAGTATTTTTTTTTTCTTCCAAGTAATGACATTGAGAGTTGTAGTGAAATGTGATTCTGTCTACTTTGGTGGTTTCTTTTGTTGTCGTTTTCTTTCTATTTATTTTTGTCTTCTAATATGTGTTCTTGTATCATTTCTTTGCTGCTTTTTTTCTATAAATTTTTCTGTCATTCACACTGTCACTCTTTCTTCTCTCTTCCCATTCACTTTTTCTTTTCTGTTCTTTTCTTGTTTGTTGTGTTTGTCTATTTTCATATTTAATTTCTATTCCTATATCTTTCTTCTTGAATTATCTTGTACCGCTTTACATCATCCTCTCATACCCCCGCCCCCCCCCCCTTTCTCTCTCCTGCTCTCTCCCCCTCTCTCTCTCTCCCCCTCTACCTCTCTCCCTCTCCCTCTCTTTCTCTCTCTCTATCTCTCTCTCTATCTCTTTCTCTCTCTCTTTCTCTTTCTCTTTCTGTTTTACTTCTATTTCTCTTTTATTATTTATTTAATTTTAAAAAGTAGCTCTTTCCGTATTAATACTGGTTATTTTTTCTGAGAGACCCTGTACAAGTAAAAGATTACAATTCAAAGGAAATGGAAAAAAGCTCTATACAAACACGACATATCAAAGATCTTTTCTCTCTTTATCTGTCTCTTAGTTTTGGACTAGCCACCCCCTCATCATCATCTCAAAGACTTCAGGATCCAGAGATCACATCCACCAGTGGACCAGCTTCCCCTGAGAGCCCTAAAGAAATCATCAAGTAAGAAATATTGAAAAAGATATTTACTTAAACATACACGTACCTCCTAACATTAGTCAGATATGTATGGAGATGGTTAGTTCATGACATGTTCCCTGGATTTACCCTTTGGCAAATTTGTATTAAGCAAAACAAAATATATTGAGTTAACTATGAGCTGGTTTTTGTATTTATTGTGTATATATGTTTGTTTGAAGTCATTACGATACATGAGAGAGACATTTCTGTTTTTGCCTCCAAACCAATTTTAAGATGCATATAATTGATTTTTTTTTTCCTTCTTTCAAGAAGGGGACTCTAGTTGTTTTTTTAAGTTTAGTTTTAAGAAGTTTATCCTCTCTTTAAATAGAATTTATTTTTGATGGTTTTGTAAGGTCCATACAGTATATCAACTAAATTTGCTTTAAAGATATGTGTATCCTCTTATCAGGTGAAATTGAGTGACAAAATAGTACAAATTGCAGGAATATGTTACCTGGGGCAACAACAAAAAAGAAGAAGAAGATATAAGGCTCTGCATAGTTTTAATTCAAACTTGGGAAGATAAGCTACGGATAACTTGTTATCATTGTTTACAGTAAAGTCTATCTTAAACATAGTATCCTATAATCAGTAATTGATTTTTCGAGTTTGTTTATTGGATTCTGCTTTTACTGTTACTTTCTTCTGTGACCTACAACAGCCCGTAGCAGAGGAGTGGTGCTGTATCTCCACCTACACCCTCCTTGAATGTTTCTCTTATATTAGAGCCGATATAGTGCAGTCTTGTTATTTCCAAAGTCTTCCTTAAATTTACTTAAACTTATTTCATAATCAGTAATGGATCTGTGGAGTTTATTAGATGATTCTTTTATTTCCTTTGTTGACCTGCAGTCCGTGGCAGAGGAGTGGTGCTGTGTCTCCTCCTACACCGTCTGTCAAGTTCTCAGATATCATCAGAGCTGAATCAGAACAGAAGCACTTCCTTGATAGAGCCAAGAACAAGACTCTAGCACAGATTCAGGTATTTATAAGTGTTTCAAAGCGTTGTGCAATGATGAAAACAATAATAGAAACTTAGAGAAAATACATATTAAACAATCAATGGCATAATAGCTGAATCAGAACAGAAGAACAATATTGATAAAGCAAAGAACAAGACCCTAGCAAAGATACAGGCATGTACAGCATCTACATTTTATATGCTCAAAAAAATGATTTCCACATGTCATAGTATAATGATTTAAAGTGGAGTATATCCTATCTTTCTTTGAATTTGGAATCTGATTCCGAATGAGTCATATGACGTAGGTCCCATCATATTTCTCTTATCTTTGTTATTTATTATGTATGATTGAAAAAACAATTTTTACTTTATTTGAAATGTATATGTAACATGAGAAATATGAAAATAAATTAAATGAAGTAAAAAAAAATGAAAATTTGTTATACTTGCATTAAATTGTGTTATTCTCTCTCTCTCTCTTTCTCTCTCTCTTTATGTCACCCTAGATTGAAGAGAGAGCCATAGAGGAGCTGTATAACCTACACAGAGGTGCTCATAAACCAGATGAATACATCACAGTAGGGAGAGTTCAACATGTTGTGGCCACGCCCCTCTGGAAGAAGAAATCAGAAGACAGATGATAGTGACTTAATCACACTCTATCTCAGAGGACACTCCTTCAGCCAAAGAGTTATTGGAACAATCTTCTTCAGTCTGCGGTCACAGCACCAAGTTTAAATAACTTCAAAAGATTACCTGATAATTATTGGTCTAAATTGCAGTATGTTGTGCATGATCCATCTCTCTAGTGTGCCCTCAAAGTTGTTTTCGTCTGTTAATCACAACCATAAAGAAATAGCGACCGGAAGACCAACAGGACTACCTTTTCTTCCGTATACTGTTTATGTTAATGTGACTTTAGGCTCATTCAGATATGATGCAGTGAACCAGTAAATATAAACATATAACAGCTAGGAAATTTGTGAGTGTAATAATACGTAATTTCAAAATTCTGACACCTTATATTTGAAGTTATTATTTTTTGTTATCAAGAATTTTTACTTCATTATTTAACCACAAACTTCAATAACACACTATTAGATGAAGTGGTCGACACTTGGTCCTCTATAATTCAGTGAACAAACTACATGTACAATTGTATGTGCACAGCATATGGATTAAGACCAGGAAGAAGGTTTGTTGGTCCAGATAGTTTTGGGCAAGACCAAAATCTTTTGTTCCGTATGTCACCGTCAACAGTATACCGGCAGATTGTAAAAAGTTAATAATCCTGTGCCAAAGCTGAGGTCAGACCTATTATCAAGAAAAAATATTGTTGCAATATATATTATTCCATGAAACGAGGTAACATATAAGACACGGAATGACAAAATTCTTTGGCCTTGTATCATCCAAAGGGTTTATAGTATAGTAGCACTGTATAGGAAGAAATAGTCAGCTCCAATATGGGATGTTCATGTAGGCCTTTACGATGTGCCCTGCCTCTTGCCTCCTGTTTTGCAATGAGTACAAATCTTGCTGAATTTCTTTTAACATCATCATTATATTCGTTCGTTCGTGTCTCCTTAGATCAAGATTAGTGTAATCTTGATCTTCGGAGTAGTTGCTACAACCGGCCGTGTCAGACACGTTGCCCCGGGGTGCGAGATAGGACTCTTGTAGCGTGCCCCCATTTAAAACAATTATACAGTTAACAATACATTTAATTAATAGTATGAAACTATTAAAATTACTCTCATATTACGGGAAAAAATATTGCATATACATATATTATGAATCAATTGATTTGGTCGATCCAGTTCGATGGCACAAACACGGCACTACTGGACAGAGATCCTAATAATTACAGAGCTTGGTCTTGGTCTTGGTCTTGGTCTTGGTCTTGGTCTTGGTCTTGGTCTTGGTCTTGTCTTGTATTGTATTGTTTCAACTCAATACCATGGCAGTGTGAGAACTGAGGCACACAGGATTAATGACTTGCTTTTTAGTCCAGCAGGAAAATAAAGAATTGTAAAACAACATTGACTACCGTACATTTCAATGACGTATAAAATAGTCCTTAGGAGATGGTGTGTTTCTAACTTTCTATCGCTCAAGACGGTTATCTTGAAGGTTCTTAATTGCTAAAAACTTGAGGGCGTCTGGGGGCTCCGTCCCCAGAATACCCCACCCAGAATGGCTTCAGCCACATCTTTTGGAAAATCCTGGATCCGTCGCTGCAAACTTTGTTTGAATATTACAAGTGCTTCCCTGTGACTCGCTTAGAAGGGCCATTCACTGTGCAAAATGATATTTGTCAAAGGAAACTTTCAAAACGTATTTCATGATTCAGATTCTATCATAATAAAACAATGGTAATGTGAATGTTTGTGTCTGAAAAACGTAGACAATCTTCATCCGTGTGCCATGGGTATTTATGTGATTCAGGTAATGTAACAGTTTGCGATCTGGGTCTGTGAGTTGAGACCCCATTGTCTACTGGAACTGAATAGTTCCTGTATTAAGCCAGTAGGGAATGAGAGAACTCAGTAGTCAATGGGCTAACATGTAGTGTCTGGGGACAGTCTTTACAAAACTATTATTTTCTGATATATTATTTATTGTGGAAAAGTGTATATTGGATACACCAAACTACTTTGTTGGGATAGATTATGCTTTACATGTGTAGTAAAAAGCAAATTAACTCATTATACACCGCACAAATAATATCCCTGTTCCACATTGTATTTATCAAGGGATGAATATACCAAAGGATTTAAGATTATTGAAATGTTTCCAGTGCAAGATTAATCTATACTTGTGTTTACATGGTGCTAATCAAGACAAGGGGGGTGTTTCACAAAGATCCTAAGTTGAACTTATCTCTAAGTTGGACGTGAAAATTATGGAAAGCCGTTAGCATCTTTGAAAATATTTTGTAAAAGTTATTTTAAAAGGCATAAAATGTTAATTCAAATCAATCATATTTTCTATTATCAATGAGATATAATGTTATTGATGTGTAATTCATAAAAAGTCTAAAACACCTAATTTTTTTATTTGAATATATTTTATTTTAAGGCTACAAATGGCTCTCCATAATATTTAAGTCCAACTTAGAGTTAAGTTCGACTTAGGATCTTTGTGAAACACCCCCCAGAAGTTGGAATTTTTACAAAGCCATTCTTCCTTTAATTGATACCTATGGTTGTGTGCAAAAGAGCATGTGTAGCAAATGAGCGACTATGCAGAGAGATAAAGAGAGCTACAAAAATGTACAGTTTAGAAATGTTGTAATCCGTATCCCTATACATGTATGGATCTTCAATTGGTTTGAGTAAAGAGTATCTTGCTATTTCTTGTATACAATTTAACTTCACTGAATGCGAAATCATTTTCTATGTAGATGTATTGTAGCTCTTTTGACCCTTTTGGAATTAGATTCTATATGTGTGCTATTTGTGAATTGCTAGTTTCTTAAATCAAGATGATGTATTCATTTAAAAGTTTGTATTTTGATTTTACAGTGTATACATTTGCATTACCCTCATACAGTTTGAAAAAAGTATTTTATCTGCTGTGGACTGCTTTTATTTATTTGTGACTCTGTCTCATCTGTAGATATATTTTCGTGCAAACCAAGATTATCGTGTTTGAATTTTGATTCTTGGTGAGGAGGTGATAGATATTGTAAATATTTTGTTATATTAATCACTATTTAAGTTGTTTTCTATTCACTCAAAAACAACTTCATTATTCTTAATTTTCTATTGTGTTATCACTTTCAATAACGGGAACAGCTGATTTTAACTTGTAGAAGATAAATTATTATTAGCAGTGATTAACTTACTGTAGTACTGGGTAGTTATTTATTTAATTCATTCTGTCAGTTTTCATTTATTTACTTTCATACATTAATCAAAGATTGATGGTGATACTTTGATTCTGTTTGTAAAAGTTTATATGATATTACAAGTTTAAGTATTTCGCCTAAATGTGTACTTCCATTGTCTATAGCCATTTAAATATTTAGTTTGTTTTTGGTAAATAGTCTTATTTGCTTGTTTCTTGACATTCCAAATGTGAAGCTGGTCTTGGGACAGGGAGATTCATTTGTAAAAGATTTGTTAAATGATATGTTTATCGTACCAATGGGAAGAAATTCCTTGAGTGCTGTGAGCACTGAAATCAGTAGCTTAGCAGGGCCGGGGTAACATTGGAGCGCGTTGAGCACCTTACGTGGTGGATATGTACACTATAAAAATATCCAATATTATTAGATAAAAGTATGAGAATCATAGATTGATTTGTGAACATATCTATCTATCTTTCTATATCCAATAGCTTGGAGGTTGTTGGGTGACAATGAAATGGACCTTAAGACACAGGTTCTCCAAAACTTCCTGCCTTCAGCTGTTCTAGTTAGCTATTCAAATGACATGCCTGTCTACTGGTTGATGTTATCAGTCCATGTCCTAGTTGGTCTGCCCCTCTTTCCTCTCCCATCATTTCCTCCTTGCAAGATGGTGTTTACCAAGCTATTCTATTATATGTGAATGTTCTACAAGATAAAATGATTATTATAATGGTAAATGTATTTGAAACGTATTTGCTATGCATGCTAATAAATGGACAATGCAAGTGAAAGACTGCATATTTGAGCCTATGAAAGAATTGAATATTGTTCATTGCTTTACATCAGTATTTATTACAAGTATACAAGCTTTCAAGTGTCTTTAAGGTGCTGTGAGGCTGTACATACAGATTGTTTATTCATGTACAAATATTTTTGAATGAAATAAAACAGATTGTTTTCTCTTTAAAAAAAAAGGAATCATTTGTACTTGCTTTTGATTGGAGTACTGTTATCAGCTAAACCCCACCCCCCCCCCCCCAAAAAAAAAACCCCGCTTTAGCTATAAAAGGTTTTTTAACTGTGATGTGAGGCAAGGCTATGTGGATGTGACTCTGATATGCAAAGCAAAGCATTCATATAGTTTATGATGATGTATATTATTTGTCACCGTATTTGTCTTGAAAAGAATAATATATTCCTTCAGAAATTGAACTCCAATCTTATTCTTTTGACAACTTCATCTTCTTTTTCCAGCAATTTTGTTATCTTGCATTGTTGGCCAAGTTTATAAAGAATTACCAAAATTATGTCATGATTCTTGACCATGCAAAAATGTTGGGTGATATTTTGAGCCAATTCAAATAAAATGGATGCAGGGGCATCCCCTTTATTTCAAGATGTAAATATAAAGAAGAAGAAGAGGAAGGAGAAGAAAGAGAAGAAGAAGAAGAAGAAGAAGAGAAGAAAGACAGGAGAAAAAGAACTCACGGAAATAGCACCCCCCACCGTCCCCAAATCGCTATAGTCACTCCTTCCTCTACCGCCTCTACCCCTACCTCTTCTGAATTGAATTTGAATTTATTAACAACAAAACAACAACATAACACACTGTTACAAACGCATTCAAGTGGGTAACAAAATACCCATGTACATGAGTTACAAAGAAAAAGAAAATATCCCTAGTTGAACCATGTGTACAAGGTAAATTAATCATATACCATGTCATATCAAACCTGTGAATTAGCTATAACTCAATAATACGTAGAGATTTGTGGCTGGAATTGAAATTCACAGAGTTCCAATAGCGTATAAGTGATTCAAATAAAGGATATTTTTAAACTTAAAAACTTAAAATGTTGTTAAAGGGAGAACCAAAAGTTAGCACGAGTGCTAGTCGGGATTGGTTCTCCAAGTTTCTAAAACTGTATGCAAATTTATATTGGTATTTATTTTGACTTAATATCATATTATTTGATCCTTATGATTCATCTCTGCTTAGGAGTTTAATTCCGAGATTTTGACGAAATGATGATCTTGTTTTTTCTTCTCTTATATTTATGGGCAAATTATTTCCACAGCTTCTTCTGTGACTGGAAACGCGCTAGAACCCACATGTGTAAACACAATTAGCTACTTTCTATTAAAGACGAACTTGCTGGAAAGCCTAGTTACAAGACAAAACAATAATTACCCAATCAATAGCCTTCCGACTCTTTTCATTCTGTCAAAAATCGTTAGTCCAAGCCAGCCCCCTATTCATAATCGTGAAGAGAATCAATAATTACGCTCAGGTAGGGGAGATGTGACGATCAAAAAGACGGATATAGAGTGAGTCTGTATTGATAAGAAAAGGGTGTGTCCAATGGAGATTGCCTCCCGGACACCGGACCCACCGGAGAGGGGGGGGGGGGGGTACTCACATACTAGGACATACGGGGGTGTGCCGCTCTAATCATAATCGGTCACTTTTTCACAAAAAATTCCCAAACATGGGTCCCACTTTTATCAAAAATACCATTTAAAATTGGTCCGTTTTCCCGTAAATTGTGAAAAATGCCCGAGAATGCCCCCTTCATAATGGGTAGGGGTTTCGAGGCTAGAGCTAGCGGCACACCCCCGTCCAAAACAAAACAAATCTGAGTATCCCCCCCCCCCCCTCCGGGACCGGACCACCCGGTCTCTTCGATAGAGATGGGGAAGCAAAAACTCGGGGTGAATATATTGAATGTATCCATGATTGAAGATGAACACAATGATGGTCCTTGCAATAATACCCACGGATCGAACTATAGAAGCCTTTATGAAATGCAAATTGATGAGAGCATATACACTCATTTTTGTGTACAGAGGAAGTGTTTTTAGGTCAATCTTGTAGAACAGAAGCGAAGCACAGTATATACTCTTGGATATAAACATTTTTTTCTGACCCCTATTCATAAATGATTGTTACAGTATGATTTATTCTTGATGGATAAATTTTATATATAATCATAAAATTTATTGATCAATTTAAAGAGTCATAGAAATTGATTAATACACGTCAATCTGAGAAGATATCAACTTTATCAAACACGTATAAATCATATTGTTACAACACTTCATGAGCAGAGGTAAGAAACAGAATAATCCGACTTTATGGGCAACAGCGTGGTACAAAGGCGTTCACTAAACTCAAACGTTTCCATGGAACCGTCCTTTCTATCATTTTTGGGACGAGGAGGTAATCCCCCCCCCCCCCCCCGATCAATTTCCACACAAATTGTGTTTTCTGAAATTTATTAAACGTCGATAGGCAATAGCCTGCGTACGCGCCTGTCCAAGAGTAAGAAGAAGAAGAAAGTCCAACACGAATATTTTTCGAAAGGCATATCATAACATTGAAATATGTAAGCAGGATGTAAGTTGTAAAATAAAATTCTTCATCATGGAAATGGTGTTTTCACATCGACGGTGGCACTTTTTTCAACGCATCAACATTATGTTACTGCTTTGTGCATGCTTGGGAAATTTGCATTATTCAATAAATTGTATGGCGGCAAAGTACTGACTTTACATGATCCCAATCGAGTTTATGCACTGCCCCAGGCCCAATGGTTAAATTACCTATTCGTTGGAACTAAACATTATGATCCATTTTCTTTTCTTTTCTAATATTTCCTTCAAAAGTTTGATACCGTTCCATTCGATTGTTAGCATTCACGCAGTCGTTTGATGATACCCGACAATGCAGGGCGAATACATTCATAATTGATACGGGTACACTAGAAGAGCATACAGGGGGGAAATCCTCATTACAATGAAACAAATTTGTTTAAAAACACTTTCATAAATCATTGAACAATTATTGTTATAAAGTTTAAGTCTAATAATTATAAAATATATGACAAATGAACAATAATTTTGAGGTGGCATGTGTCCCTTCTTTTATATACCCCTATGGTACAATGAATTAATCCTAGGCATACAGCGTGTGTATAGGTGTATGGCTGTAAAGCGACCCGAAAATGTATTGCACCTGTTTAATATATTCTCACGTTACACATCTTGTACTTGAGAGTTGAGACGAGGATAATATCTTGGAGATAATCTACAATTTCAACTCGCCAAAGACTCTATAAATTGATTTATCTTACGTGACATGGGTATTTGGTGAGTATCAATACAATTACCGTTGCTGTCAGTGATTTTTATGTAGGTTAATGAGTTGAAAATGACAGATTATCGTGATGTTTTGAAATGGGTGAGTCCGACTTTTCGGGGTCGGTCAAGGCCCATGGACAACGTACATTGCGCTATGTACTCTCGCTGAACGCTCGGGCGAATCCAATGTGACAAAGTAGGACTCTTGGCACTGAGCTGAGATGGACTGCAGACTTTGGGGGATATCATAAAATTCGCTCTTGAGTCTTTGTTCTCGAGCCGTTGCATTTACTAAGAGAAGATGAGTCACTACTTTGAAGTATGTAAGAATACTCGGGATGCAGGATTGTGATGATGATGATGTATCATGTAATTTCATGTTGGTATGTTACTTTGTGAGATCTAGATTCTAGTCATAGTTTTGTGAGAATTCTTGCTTTGTCCTCATCCCTGTCGATTGGGGGTGGGGGGGGGGGGGGGTGGGTTGACTGCCTTCACCCATCTCATTCAACAACAACAACGACAATAAGTTTTGGAATAATTGCCTTTCCATGTTTATATAATATTTTTTAATAATTTGGATTTATTAGCAATACAGTAAATATAAAGAATAAAGACTCAAGAGCAAACAAGAAAATTGGAAGAAAGGAAACACAATAACATAGAAATAATATTATATTCACTAGCTGTAAGTTGTCATGTACATTTAGTGTTGGCAGGCAGTATATGGAAATCCATTTAGACCAAAAATAAAATAAGTCTATTTTGTTCAGGGATATGTTTTGCTGAGACCGCATCTGGCATCATCGAATCCCTCTCTCTTGGTACTGCAGAAGAGCATCAGAAGTTCAGAACACAAAACATGTTTTAATAAAACTCCTCCAAGCAGACAGATTTTGCCGTCTAGTATAGAAGCTGCTTCAATGCTGCATGATTACTTACCAGTATTTTTGTTTTTCCAGTAGCGGTGTGAAAAATATGGTTCCCTATTTTTGAACTACACCCTGTATGTAGAGAACAGATCGAAGAAAAAAATCTTCAAAGTATTTCAGTGGATTACTATGTTTAGTCCTAGACTCCTAGAGTGGCCTACGTCATTTTCATCCAATGTTGTTTCCAGAAGAGAGCCACTAAAGCTTGTAAATTTTTTTGACCAGAAATGAAGATTAGGGTCAATATTTTTGGCATTAATGTCTCCTGCTGAAGTGTAGTCATCCATGAACAGTATCTAGTACTCTGATAGTTGGTGATGCTTGGGCGTGGCACACAGTGCACAGTAGCTTCCTGAAAGGGAAGTCCACCGTGATAATGAGTTGGTATTAATTGATAGCAGCTGCAAAAATATGATGAACGGTCAGTGAAAGTTTGAGCGAAATTATATTCAAATTGAGAAAGTTATTAATTTATTAAGTTTGCGATCAATCAAACACCTCAACAGTACGACAATACACCTGACGCCTGTACTGCAACTGAAGAAGAAGAAGAACACAAATTTGCAACTCTAATGTATCTCGCAAGCTCCCTCCCATTTTCCTCTGTAGTAAAAAAAAAAATCATATATATATTTCTATTTTCCCTAGAGAAAATTTTCAATCTTACATGCACCCTAAATATAAATATTGCAAATATGTTTCTATACACCGGTTACAACCCCTGTATGAAACAAATCTATTCCATCATCAATAACTAAAAAAAATGAAAGTTATGACATTTTCTGTAAAGAGCGAATTGGAGAGGAGTTGCAAGATACATGTATCATAGTGTTGCCAATTTGTGTTTGGTTGATCACAACTTCAAAAATGTGTAACTTATTTATCATTTTTTTTTTTTTTTGCTCAAACTTTCACTGACCTACATGCATTCCTCTTATTTTTCTGCTTCAATTAAATCCAACTTGATATGCAAGGGTGGATGAAACCGTCACACATCATCTGTTGTGATGGCAAAAATACTGAGAAGAACCATATATCTACTTCAGCAGGATCCTTAAAGGCCCACTGCACTACTTGTAGCTACTTGCGCCCTCTATATAACAACCAAAGCCTAATCGGTGACCATTGGTCCCCCATGATCCTCTTTTTCTTATGTTAACTGAGAGCTGAGTTGATGAGATAACCACCTGTCCAGTGACCTTGCAGAGCGCTCTAATCCCTCCTGTAAACTATGGCAGATAAGCTTTAAGTTGGATGTAATGCTGAGGAATTAAACTTTGATTATTCTGTATGTGGCGTCTAGATTCCGAAACAGTACTGGTAAGTCATTTTAGTGATGGCTTTGAGTAACATTGTTTATGCTGCATTTCTCCACACTTGTAAGTGCATACTTTGAAAGAAACAGGAGAACAGATGTACATGTAGATATTGAAAGTAATGGTATCATCATGAAATCTCAGGGCCATATCCAGGATTTTCCAAGGGTGGGGGGGGGGGGTGAAATGTACAAAATTGCAAGTGCAAAGCCTTTACTGTGTGGGGTCCGGGGCCCCCTTAAAGGTACTATGTCCCATTTGCAGGCCAAAAAAATGAAAAAGTTAAATTCCAACTGCATTTGAAAGATAATACTAATTTAGAACTTCCCTAAAAAAGGTGGGGCTTGAAAATGTCTTCAAGTGGGAAAATAATGATTATTAGTTGTCAAATCGACTTTAGGGCTATAGAGCCCAAAAGTAATAGTCTTGATTTTCAGACAATTGTACCGAATGGCCATACGTTTTATGCTGCGCAAAGATTCAATCAGTTTAATCTTGGCCATCACAAGATGTGGGTTATTGATGTACACAAATGCTCATGTACGCTTTACAACTCTTTTCATGTATGTTATTACCAAAGAAGAAAAAAGGCAGTCAGTCACTCAATAGTGTCTGACAGTGAAGTCTAGCAAGTAAACTGGTTTCCTGGCATAATTTGAATATGAGGACACTGCTAATGTTTAAATTTCACAGATAGGACATACATGACATATTCATAATTCCTGCAAAGTTCTACAGCATTTGAGGTTGGCTGCAAAAGGGACATAGTACCTTTAACGGCCTCAGAAAATTATGAACCTTCAGATGCTACATGTATGGTACATTTTGAGGCATTTCTGAATGTGTATACTGAACATTTATGTGAATATCAATATTTCTTAGCTTTTTTCCCTGCTATTTTTCATCGAAGAAAAGGGGGGGGGGGCATCCCCCTCCTGGATCCACCCCTGAATCCTATAGAAAAATGATGATAGCCTGATCAACTCCAGCTCTTACGCTTACAAACATGTACATGTACAACATACACTGTACATAGAGCTCAAGACCAACTTCAAAATGGATGATATCTAGGCACTCCCTAAAATGAGCAGTGATAAATAAGGCATTATCCTAATTCCCCCTAATGAGCAAACCTGCTAGTACACTTTTGGTGCTACTGTAAGCTACATTGTACTTAGATTTAAACCTTTTTTTTTTTCATTTTTAAAAATTAACTACATGTACATGTATATGTATCAGTTTGATATGTCTCACACAATATTTCCAACCATGTTTCACACTGGCCTACATTTTACTCACTTTCGTCTTATCAACATTATAAGTACCGGTATTCCCAAAACGGTTGTGGGGCTTGCATAAATATGTTGTGGTTATATGTACATGAACATTAAATGATAAAAATGTCCTCAGACAACATTTGAAGAGGATTACTGTAATTAAACAAATCAATTCCACATCACATATCCATCCTCAGTGGTATATACAGGGTGTACATATATACAAGCATCAATATAAATTGTTTTTATTCTTTTAACAAATTTCAATTTTCAAATGGAGTCATAAGTTTAGTATTAAATCATAGTTCATGTGGATATTGTTTGTAATACATGTACATTGTATACAAATAAATACATTGAATATTGTTATTAGCCTACCGTTTTGTTATCATTTAAGGCCATTTTCCCACTAGATTCTTGTATTTGATTGCTTTGTGTATAATAATATGTACAGTACTTTGGTTTTCTTCCAAAATGTGTGTATAATACACTTCCAGAACATACATTCAGTACAACTGTATGTTTGTGTTACAATGACTACATTTTTGGCCTTTATATTAGACTTGCATTCAGGGGATAACATGGAGAATGCTTTTAGAGTAAAGTCCCCCCCCCCCCCCCACCTCAGTCGAGCTTAATTCCACAATACAAATGTGCATTATATCTGTACATGTCTAAATGTGTAATTTACTGCTCTCTTTCTCTCTCTCTCTCTCTCTCTCTCTCTCTCTCTTCCTCCCTCCCTCCCTCTCTCTGTTCATTTGATGACTTTAAAGTTAATGTATGTTCAAGTACTCGCATGTACAGTGTATGTGCAGCAGCAGCGACATTCATCGCTGTGACACCAAACCAGGGTGTGCGTGCAAAGTGTGTTAGCTCGGCATTTAGGTACATGCATACACGTGTGTGCTGGCTGGCTAAATTCAGCTACTAGGCATCCTTGTTCAGTCCCTCTCGGTGATGGTCGTAATATATTGAGCAGTCACGATAGCTGAAATTTGTTATTTGGTTTGTCGTCTCGTTGTAGCGGATGGATACATGTAGGCCTACATTGTACACATGTGTGCCTTCTTCAACAAGTCCCTAGTTCTGGATTTAAGTAAATGCGTTCAGTTTGAGTATGTAAGTAAGAAATGCTGATCGTTCCTGGATCACCAGGACTTGCAAAATGCTGATGCATGTTCGTAATACATGTACAGTGGTACACTTTGTATGTATGCATGTGTATCGCAGATGTGCTGTATAATAAAATCACCAAATGACAGCCACGTTTGTAAAATACTGCTGTGAGTTAAGTTTTATTATTTATCGTTATAATTGGTCATTTATTTGTTTTTCTTTTTTATGTGATTTTAGCATGTACATTATGTGGGGCTTCTTAAGTTTGCCTTTTTTCCATCATTTCCCAAAGCTCTTTTTGAGATTTTGTAATGCTTCATTTCTGTTCTCTGTTGCTAAAGTGTCCTTGTAATGGTTTATTCATCAGATGTACATGAATTGACTAGAGCCAATTTTGATCGAAAATAATGATTCAAAAGTCAGAACCTCTCAATGTGTTGCCAATTAAAGGATCTTAAAGGTAAAGACCAGTATTGGAAATGCCCCAATTTCAAAAAATGAAATGGAAGCTCTCATTACCAATCATGTGAAAGAATATGTTTTGACTAATACACGATGATAAAAAATTTGCCGGGAAACCGCCTACTAATTCATATATTTGGTAAATTTGTTTCTCTCATGGTCTGTGAGAGATATAGGGTAGTCCCATATACATCTTTCTGTGTATAGTGCTTGTAACTTTACGAAGAATGGGCCAAATTTCTTATCATTTTGATGATTCCAGAACCTTGCAGATGCTAGATGCTAGATAATCAACCTTTTCTGATCGATTCCACAACGTTTCTTTCACAATGCATTCGCATGACCATAACTGGTCTTTACCTTTAAAGCTTATTTTCCTATTTTTTAATTCCTGGCATAGTCATGCAAGAAAAAATGGATGCAGTGTGTGAAGAAATTGTTTTACTATGTACAATGCAATCCCATGTACTTTATTTATTTTGTTGGAAATGGAAATAAAACGAAATGAAATGAAAAATGTTTGCTCTTTCTACTCCTGCATCTGGTACAGTTTTTAGGGTTCTGAATGCAAACACTATATTGAACCAAACCACAATATGTGGAATGATTGACCAAAAAGGGTTTTAGCTAAAATCAACCTTGGTACTTTGGATAATGGATTGAAAGCATGGATGAGTCACTGTTGAATCTTCAATTTCTGCCAACTTTTCATAATTCCTCTCTTGTTTTATATTTTGACTGCAGATCCCTGGCGTAACGATGTTCATCTAGCTGCGGGATACTCTGCTGTTACATGTACTACTTCCAATGCTTCTAATGCAGAGAACTAAACCATTACCTGCCGGCAAAATGGATACCCTGAGAACTCTTTCTGTTTGCCTTGTTTTTTTGCTTCCACTCCTGTCTTCTGCTCAAAATGATGCGTGCGAGCTATCAGCGAGTCCTGCAGGCTGTGTATGTTCAGGACCCAACGTGGTATGTACAGGATACTGGCCGACGTATCGTGAGCTTCATAGCGGGGATATCGACAGCAAATTAGAGTCCCTGACGATTACAAACACTACCAAGACAAATCTCATCAAATGTGAATCAGTATTTGGTACATTGACAAATCTTAGGAAATTGGATTTGAGTAACAACCAAATTAATTTCACGAGACCGAGGTCATTTAGTTCCATTTGTTTTCCAAATTTAGAGCAGTTAGTTTTAGATGACAATGCTCTTAGGCTGAGTGCTCACACAACGTTTAAGAGTCTTGATAGGCTCCGGGAGCTACATCTGAATAATGCGCTCTACCGGAACCAAAGCGTGTCAGAGCAGGTCACGCATACATTCATCAAATCATCCATGCCGAGTCTGGAAGAAATCATGCTCAATGACAATTTGCTCGGAGATCTGAGTTCGAGTACCTTCAACTTCAACTTGTCATCAGGTTCAAGTCCCTTGAGTAGAATTCACCTACGTAATAGCAGACTTGGCATGATCAACACTAACCTATTTGAAGTTGAAACGCTCCCCAATCTCTCGTTCATTGACTTGAGCATGAACAGCATCACGGGCTTGCCGATAGAGAACCTGGAAAGCTTTGACAAATTTTCCAGCGCGCTTACGATCAACTTGACCGGCAACCCTCTCACCTGCAATTGCAACCTCAAAGACTTTGTTGTCTGGCTGCAGTCGAATGACACCGAGGTGACCGTGGTTGATCAAGAGAAGCTCAACTGCTCCATGGACAGTATCGTGCATGGGGGTAAACGCATCATCGACCTGGACCCGATGGAGCTGAAATGCGGGCACATCCAAAACACGGACATGGATGAACAGATGAAGACTTCTTACATCTTGCTGATTGCCGTGCTGAGCATCATCGGTTTATTAGCCCTCGTCATTCTCTTCATGAGACGAAAAGAGATCATCAAGCTGTGTAACCAGATGAAGCAGGCTACCAAGGAAACCTTTGATACACACCATACATCATACGTCTACAGCGATATCACCCAAGCGAGACGAGAAACCCCGGAACACTCTGCAGTAGATGTTTGATATGCTGCCCTCTGCAAGGTGAGATACTCTATTTTGGCGATCCATTCACTTATATGTATTTATTCTTTGTAAATGAGCTGTAATTTTGTCCATGTTAATCTTTTGTAATGTTGTCTTAATTCTTTATAATATATGTTTTGCCTCAAAAACAGCATTGTGGCTGAAAGTAGGTTTCTTTTAAACACAGTACATGTAGATGAACAAAATTCTTAGGGCAAGTCCAAAGTATGTCCTAGAAATCGTCAAGTATTTTGGACTTGTTTCATGCATGTAGTCCACCTGTAGTACTAGAATGGTTTACATGTAAAAAGTTGCAAACTGGTAGGCTGAGAGCTAAATTACAAATTCAAGTTTTACAAGCTCAGATTTAAAAAGAGTTCAACAAAACTTAAATATATAGACAGATTATAGAATCATAAACATGAATTGACATAAAAATATCAGTTTACATAATATTTTGTCTCATCCAAGCTCAAGAGTTGTCATGGTCTATTAAAACTATCCATCATTTGCACCTTGGAGCTTCGGTATTATAATTATGAGGTGGACTCATTAATCTGGTGACAAATTATAAGTCAACCCTTCAGAATTTTCATCTTAATCAAGGTGCCATTTTCTGGTCATTTCCACCACAGGCATCTTTAGGTCTTGAGAACTATAAATCTGATGATAAATTTGGCATTACCAGGAGCGAAATTCATCTCTTATTTCAGCAAGATTGCTCTTGACATTTCTCTTTGTATTTTCCACCATGGGCATTTTATTCATGTCAGGGGCACTACGGGTGGGGGCTTTAATCCGAGGATAAATCGGGCATCGGTGTTGAAACATTACTTTATTAGCATCAAATGGGTATTACAGAGCTGCCAACCACTATGATTTAATCATATTTTTTACGATTTTTAGATTTAAATAGGATAGTACGATTTTCAAATAAATATTTTTACTGGTATATGTATTTAGTTGTGTGTGTGTGTGATATTTCCAATGGCAAGATGCCCATTCTGTCCTGTAAAGTACCCAAAAAGCATCTCACATCGGCTTTTTGGGGATGTTCATTGGTTCATCGAGCACACCAGTCATGATGAAATACGGTAATGCATATTCAACCAATAATCCATAACAAAATTCTTCCTGTATGGACTGTAGGAACTGTAAGAGGCATTGATCTTTTTTAATTTTAAAAAAAAAATCAATTTCTGTCAGTAAAATACAACTTTTGGGATTAAAAGAATGTAGTTTTTGAACTCCAGAGGTTGGCAGGTCTGGTCTTATCCTCTTATTCTATTGCTGATATCTTAATAAATTTGTAGCCTAGCTGTCCGGGGAAAGGGAGGGGGCATAATTAATCTGATGATGAATCAGGCATCACCATTGAGGGCTTGTCACGAGAAACAAAGGTGGCGCTTTTGGCGCACTGCCTCTATCTCCAGGGGATTCTGTCACCTCCCGATAGCTGGGCTCTGACCAAGCACCGTGGGACATGTGAGCTAGGGGTGTAGTAATGAGTTTAATACCCAGCGCTAATTGGCTACAGCTCGCTGCAATGAAAGACCCAGGTGTTTAGATGGAGTAGTGGTGGCAAGAGCTGGAATTGGCCTGCAATATTTAGAAGCTCTTGTCACCTCATCCCGGTAGTGAGAAACTTTTGAAGCACACCCATACCATAACTTTTTCGGAGAATTCATTAGACAATTGGTTATCATGAGTATACTGATAGTCATTGAAGGGGCACTGAAATTACAAAAATAGAGGCTACACAATGAGTGCAGAAATTATGCCCATTCTACGTGTATATGCATACACCTGGAATATTTTTTAGGGCTCTGAATAAAAACTACAGTATGTGTAAATTGAGCGAAACCACAACATTTCGAAGTAGAATGACTGCCTGGAAAGGATTAACAAAGGTCAAAGGCCTGCGGTGTAGCAACAGGGGAGGGGGGGGGGGGGGTCAGAAACACATGACCTCTTCACTCCCCCCCCCCCCCCCCCCCCCCCACCACTTTCTGTAATCAGTATCCATTGTAACTTGTAAGTTACATGTACATGTACATTTCATTCTCCCCTGAAGAACAATGCCCAACCCATGTTGCCAGTTCCTTCTCAATGACCATACACGTACTAGGCTTTTGCTTATCACTAGCATTCATATTATATTCAGTTCAGGCTACCGGAATTCATTGTATACAAGTTGTACGTGTACAATGTACATGTATGAACCCTATAGCTCGTCATTAAGTAATTACATGTACCTTTTTCCTAATCTGAAGGTCATAAACACGAAAGCCACAGCCTGAACAAGCCTTTACAATATCCTTTTCTTCCTGATACTGTACATGGAGTTGCATCATACAGGAAAGCACTAGTCTGAACAAGCCCTTTACAATATCCTCTTCATTCTCATACATCTCATACATGGTCATGGAGTTGCATCATACAGGAATTAATGCCCCAGGAATTAACCTGGGAATTTGATAATTTGCCCTTCTTAGAACTTGGACCAAAAAAAACTTTGTCAAAGCGCCAAACACAGCAAGCAAGGACTAAAACGCAACTAAAAGATTTCGTTTATTCACATTTTGTTTTGCGTTTTTTTCCTAGTTGATTTTAGTTAATAGGATGCATAACTTTGTATCACCTGCACTGAGAACACATCAGGATCAAGTACATATACTGTATGTACACTGTACTGAATGCTGAAAGCTAGGCAAAAGGGATAGGAGGGCAAGGAGTCAAACTCAAGGGATAGGGGTATGGTATCCTTGACTACACAACACCTGCTTGCAAATTATAGATGAAGAAATACAAGGGGGAGGTAGGCTCTTGGTTTAGTTGCCCTCTTGCTTGGGCGGGCTGATCGGTGGATCGGTGAGTCTTTGGTGAAGATGCCATGCATGATGTCTTCATCTCTTCCGCCTGTCAAGGCAGGTGGCGATTGATTTCCGCTCCTCTCTGAGAGATCGCCATTCAAGTATTCTCCGCCAGTTCCTTTAAAGCCCCGCTGCACTACTTATAGCTACTTGCGCCCTCTATATACTAAACAATGCCTAATTGGTGCCGGTTGGTCCCCCATGATGCCTTTTTGTTTATGTTAATTGAGAGCTGATTTGATGAGATAACCGCCTGTCGTGTGACCTTGCAGGGTGGTCTTATCCCTCCTGTACACTAGTAAAGATGGCCTTTAAAAATGTTTCTTAGAGAAACATGTTTTCAGGGGTGACAAATGTGGTCTTTATACATGTTGTAGACAGGTGGTCTTTCTATACATGTTGTCGCTTAAGCAGGTTTGATTGCACCTTTGATCTCAGTCTCAATAACTCAGGGTTAATGCATTAGAATTGTAGTTTTTCTTAAAACACACAAAACAAAACTCATTCAAACAAATAACAATGTTATTGTTGCTAGCTTGAAAGCATGTTCATTAGTATGCATTTTCTTTAAAATGAGCATGAAGTTAAAAAAGATTTGTGTGGTACCGAGGAAAAGGGAAGGCAAAGCTATCGTACCCCCTTGGAACGAATTCACACCCTTCTTGGGATGATGGAGTCTCATGACGCATTTTTGTGGCAACCTCCTAGTCCTAGTGTTTCCCTCAGCTCGGAGGGAAAGGTGCGGAAGCGTTGCGAAGCTTGCTCCAACTTGAATAATGCAATCTTCTTCACCAAGAAAGATGAGAGGCCCTTTTACACCATTTTGAAAGCTCATTGATATTTTTGGGACTACCATTTACATTACGGAAAAACCCATTAAAAACGCCAAAGTTTGCTCACGCCTATTTTTGGTTGATTATTGCGCATTCGCCACTCATCGGTGCTCTGCGTGCATCAGCATGGAAGCGAGGAGAGTTACGTGAGTAAAACTCTTTATCTTACCAAACTTTGCATTACACTGCAAAATCAGTGAAACTTCAGCAGGCATTATAAAAAACCACTCTCCAGAGGTGCATTTTTGGATTTCGATTTTTGGTATCTAGGCAAAACACTGGAATGTGAGAAAATTCCATGATTTTTGGATGCAGTGTAAATGCAGCTCTTGAGACAGAAAGAAGAAAAAAGCAGACTTACCGGTACATGTATAATTGATCTTGAAAAATGAAAGATGAGACTGTAGTCTCTGTATGTCTTGCATTATTCAGATTAAGGTTAAGAAGATGACTTATGAAATACAGTCATGTACTTGTAAGAGGTCAAGAAGTATTTCTCTTGACATTGCCACAGGTGATTTAACCACCCAAAACACTTTTTATACTTGAGTCATTAGCTGCATTTACACTGGAAGCTAAAACCATAGATTTTTCTCACATTCCGATTCCGATGTTTCGTCAAACACAACAAAAAACTTTAACTACAATGCACAGTACATGAACATGTACTGTAGTTGGTTCCACCAATTTCTACTTATAAAACCCATTTGAAGCTAAGCCTAGGAATAGGATACACTTTTCCATTTCATTCTCCCGATATTTATAGCTGTTTGCAGTCACTTTTGCCATCTATAGGAATGACTCATGGCTCTGCATGAATAATGATTACTTAAATGTACAAAGTAGATTCATGATGTTCATTACAATGGAAAGGAGAGGAGATGGAGTGAGTCTTTACACAAAACATTCATTTCTCTTTTTCCAGCTTCACTATTGTATGAAATCCTCCTGTCACATCCTGCATATGAATAATTGATATATAATATCACAGAGTGCTACTATACAAATATATACTACTTCTCATACAAAATATTGTATCATTACCCCAGCTTTAGCCAAGCTGCCATGATGAGATTGCTAAAGAAGTAACAAATTTCTACCTACCAGGTGCCCAGTTACTTCACCTGGGTGGAGAGTGACAAAGATTACATTGTAATAAGTCTCCGCCCGAAGGACAAAGCATGCAACACATGTCTACCTACCAGGTGCCCATTTACTTCACCTGGGTGGAGAGTAGCAAATATACATTAATACATATACATTAAATATGTGTAATGTCTCCACCCAAAGGGCACGTTTATAGATAAACAAA